TGCCTGAGAGATACATCCACATTTTTTAAACTACACTGGACTTTTTTTTGTAGGTAAATGCCTATAGGTATATATTTTTAAACATGGTTCAACAGTAGGCTTATACACATTTTCATAATTTGCATATTTTTTTTCTGCCAATCCCTGGCCTTATCCACTTCCTGTTTGCCAAACCACACTGTTAAGTTGATTGCCTCTGGGCTTACAATATAATAAAAGAAGAAGATTTTAGAAACAGGAGTGACAATTACATAATTCCAGTGTGGGAGAGAATAGGGCAAAACTGTTAGTGTAGGTACATGTTTTGTGCACAATGTAAACACAGCAGGAAGGAATATTATGCAGTTAAAAAAGGCTGTTACAATCAGGGGTATTTTTTATGAAGTTGATGGTGATTTCAGAGCCAGGGGAATTCCAGGGGACTTCTGCATATTGCTGGAGCAGAGAGATGGCAAACCTCATGTTCTCCCATATTTCATTGTGTCTCAACTCTACGGGTCTCATTTTCAACGCAATTTAAACTACCAAAATGGAACAAATGACAGATCAAGAGGCACTAACAATATAGCCTACTTTATGATGAGATGCCTATACTCTAGAGGAAAAAGGAAAAACTCATCCTACATTTAAAACATACAATTGGTTTTTGAACAAACCAAGGGATACGGTTAATGACTTCCCAGAACTGAAAGATTATTCTGAGGGACAGACTTTCTCTGAGGACAACTTATATCCTTCAACAGAACCCGTTTAAACAGATGTTTTAGTGATGAGCGGTCAAGAGAAGAACATGAAACCACACACAGAGACTTCACCTTAACATACAGAGCAAGGCCAACCTGTGAAAGAGTTCCTCATGGTATTAAAGAGGAAGAGATAATAAGATTTGATTACTGGCAGTTTATCAAAGATATATATTTTTTTATTTCTTCAGGCCCACAGGAATGGGTTAGGCATATTTGGTCCCATTTGTTGGCCTCCTTTGGGAGAATATGGGGGAAATGTGAATGACAAGGGAAAAAAGCTGTATTTTAATTTTTTTAATTTGACTGAAAGGTTTTTTTTTTTTTTTTAACCGGGCTCATCAGAATTACCTTATGTTTGTTGATGAATCCATTTGGAAAAATACACTTAAAAAAAAGAGGATATTTAGTATAACTTCATAGATTTTGACATGCGCAGAAGTCTTTGCCAGTTTTTTCTAGGAGAAAATGGTCTGGAAAGAAAACGAACTGATCAATATCCATGGTGTGGAATTGCTAAATATGCAAAACAAAGAAAATGATTATGAGATATATCTGTATACTGTATACAGTACATTAACCTGCTTTCTAGACCCTTATATAAGATGTAGATGGCAATGTATTGTAAATATAAAACACTAAACGTTTCACCAAACTATCTGTTTCACTTGTGTTGGGATTTTCTAGTAGGCTACTCTCAGTTTCTTTTTAGGTGTGTATTCACCATCTTGAAATTAAAACATGACAAGGAAATTAAATCTAGCCTATCTGAGACGGTGCATCTTTTTCTGTTTTTCTTTAATTTATTTATAAGAATGATCTCAATGCTCATGTAAACTCTTTCAAGTAATTTATGTACAATCGTCTGTGTTGTTTAATTGTAATCTTAACAAAAGGCAGAATGAAAGATGCTCTGTAAAACAAATGGTAGGCCTACTAAACATTTTGATGCATCTAAAAAATATGCAAATATTATGACCTTTGCAGGTTTCACACCCATCCTTAAATTTAATAATAGGCCTACATATGAATATGTAAAATGATTCAAACTCAATGTTCATTTTATTGTATGTAGCCTACTTTTTACAGTCTATGATTAAAACATGTATTATTTTAGGGTTTACGTGATGAATGTGTGTCAATGCCATAATTCTCTATAAATCATGTGGTGTGAAAATATGATACTCTGGACAAAAAAAAAATGGGTTGTTGTGTTTACTAAAATAATAAATCTGCAAACTAAAGTCTTGTCACTTTGTGTAGGCTGCCTACAGTGTTCATTACACAGCCTCGCAACAAAAAAACCCGCGTTCTGTGTAAATGGCCCCTTAGATGACTAAAATACTTTAATACATAACACATTTAAGATTATTAAACATAACGGATCAATTGTAACAGTCGAAATCAATAAAGTCCTCCAAACTCTTCTTCGCCGTCTCTGAAGAACCTCGAGCTATCGCTTCCGAATGGGTGAATCTGCATCTTTTCAATATGCGATTTGTAACTACTAGCGATGGATTGGGAAACACGTTATGTTCATACTTACCCAACAAACACCAATGGAGTGAACACAAAACAGGAAATTTGGTGTGTGTGTGTGTGTGAGTGTTGGCGTTTCTTGACAGCATCAAACTAGTCTAAAGTAACAGCTACTAGATGACAGCGCCATCTATGTTCCCCATGCAGTGTTTTCAATAATTTACACATTTAATCATTGAAATACACACGGGATAACTTTTTTTGTTTAATTTTTGAACAGGGGATAATTAAAACAGGACATTAATTATTTAGACCCATCTTAACTGATCAATTATAGAGACTGCTTCAGGATTGCAAATCCATCACCTATATGTTTACTTCAACAATATATAAGTTCAAAATAATATGTTCTCAGTGATACAGGTGGTGAACATTGGAACAATGCCTGAGATTACTTGAATAATCATTTGGAATAAATAGAGCTGGTCAGTTTGTCATCCAAAAACTGGGAAGAGAATTAGCATGGAATGAATTTGAATGTAGAAATATAAGAGCAAGTTCTTGATGTTTCAGACGACCACTGTATTCAGCGGCATGTTAGCCACTCAAAACCAAAAGGTAAAAGATCCCTAACAGTTATATTAATCTCTTAATGTAATCATAAATTCATATATTTTTTTAATTCCAGTGAACTCATGGCAAATCATCCTCCAGGGTTTGCCAACAAGATGACGGCATGAAGAAATGGGACTGTGTAGTTTTTAAACTGTTAAATTATTGCATTTGTTGTATTACTCTTATTTTTTGTTAATGAGATAACAAGTTGATATCAAAATGAAATGAATTTATTTCTTGTATAATTTATTTTTCATCAATGTGCTTTGCGTGAAGCAATGTAGACATCATAAAACTAATAAACAATAAATAATTATTAGGTTTATTGAATTAGAAATAATTTAAAACTGGTAATGGGATCAGTAAATCTTTGTGGGTCGTCCTGCGTTTCACAGATCATCCGTGGGAACCTAGACGACCGGTAAGATGAAAAAGACACTTTACACAAAATATTCCTTATTTCCAAGCGCTGTTATAAATGGCTAGAAAAAGATTATTCAGCAAAATGCAGCCTGCAAATATTTACATTGATATATTACAGCAAGAAACAAGGTTTCAGCAAAGTACACATTCAGTGACACGAGTTCCATTCGATTATAGCCCTCCCATTTCAGTTACAACAATCACATACAACATTTGTGCTTAAAATGACTTCATCATCATCATCTTAATCCATCAAAGAATATTAGGCACATATCCTAAAATTATTCACAAATTATATACACAGTGTACACACAATGTATTGGCAGTGCTGACAGCATTACAGAGCTTGGATATTTGGCTTCCGTTTTAAATCCACGATGATGTTGCATAGGATCGATGACTTACAGGAATCATACACTGGAGTGAAATGGAAGCAATGCTGTAACTAAAACCCTGTAGTGCCATTCGAACAGCATTAGACAACGTAAAGAAGGTGAAAACACTGAAATAGCCCCATATATAATGCTTTCCCATGCAAGGAAACTTACTATCCATCCAAATAATGTTCCTTTATAGAGAATCAAAGATAAAAATGTTATGTACAAACCCTCCAGAAGCGTCCTTGCATTACGAAGCAGCAAATACAGTATATTACGAATCCAATGTCTATGTGGACCTTGTTACTCTTTCACATTGAATGCAAGATATGTACATAATAAAGGCCAAAATGGTCAATGAGGTAATACTCATAACACCAAATAATGAACGATCTCTCCTGCAGCACACGGTGCTTTTGCCAAGATGTTTTTGAGAAGGTCTTTAAGCACCAAGCAAAGCCTTACAGCTAAACCACTCGAGATGCACTTCGCCAGTAGAGATTATATGCATTTCACGTATATAAAGGCAACGATGCATCATTTGTCTCATATGCAATGTTTGAAATTGTAAAACGTCCCTTTTAACTGCGCCTGTGTAGCTGAACAAGTACACAATTTCAAAACAGATGGAGGCTCCCTTTATCCACTTCCTCTTCTCCAAACCTCTGATATGATATGATGACTATGAGGCTGTTTATTATAGGCCAACTCAAAGAGTAGCGCGGAGCCCTGTAGCTCAATTACGAAACGTAATCAAATCAGCATTTTTCCCAAGTATAAAACATAGTGCCGTTTTCTTTACAAAATGGAGTAAGGCACCGGATTCCATTCAGCACCAAAAACAGAGAGCGATCGAGTGTAAAAAAAACCCCAGATAGATAGGCTTTGTGCTACAGTACAACACTGGATCATGCGGTCAGCAGGTGCTTTAAAAAAAGACATTATGCGGAAGGGCAAACAAACGCACGTCCCAGACGATAAATGAGGGTTTTTTTCCCACAATCGTCACAATAAATAAGTCTAAACTCAAAAGTGTAGCACCATGCTATTTCATCCATATCTTTATCCCGTTAAACATGAAGCGATGGTCAGCATCCGATCAAGCTGGTTTTGTAAAGTCATGAGCAAATCCATCAATAGAGGGAAAGTCGATGAAGGTGGTGGTCTTAAGATGTAACTCCTCCATCTCACCAGTAGAGGGCAGTAAATCAAACGAGCATTGCATGTGCGCCAAAGTTTCTCCAACTGTTAAGGTGCGGTCACATTTACACATGTTCGGCGGATTCCACTCTTTCAATAGGGATCCACGCAGTCTGTAATTTCGTGTGAGGGCGAAAGATTTAGCAATGGGCAATTTTACACTATTGACAATTCGCATAATTTCGCTCACGTGACCGCTCTTTCACTTTTGAGGTAAAAATTGGGACAAAGCACTTTCTTCTGATGATTTTGCCGATGTAAAATTTAAGTGGTTCTCAAGAGGCAGCTTAGAGTGCCGTTGAGTTTTGCCGTTTATATATTTCTTTATATATATATCTTTTTATATATTCGCGTCTTTATTTGGGTTACCAGCACCCGTTGTGATTTCATGTAGACTTGATTTCAAGGCTGGATCAGAGTGTGGACTCCAGGGAAGAGTCCAGGATATCATCATGATGACTGTTGCTGTTGGAGTCGCTGTCGTAACTCTGCGGGTTGGAGCAGCCGGCCGCCTCTTTCAGACGCAGGAGCATGTTCATCTGTTCACACGATACACACAAATAACAGTCAGCCCAGATGTCATAATGTGTGTTTGAGGAGAATTATGAGATATTATGTATGGTGTTGTATTTCAAGTAAAGAAATGACTAAATCTAAAATATAAGACTATTTTCCGTTAAATTTTTTTTTTTTGTATATATATATATATAAACTTTGTGCTTTACCAGTTTTTGTAGGTTACACTGCCAAATGTCAATGTCAACATATATATAAAAAAACTGTCATAAATAATGTGGTGTCACTGACTGACATACTGACACCTTCTGGTATAATAACGCAGAAGTGACCAATTATAGTGACATCAGTGCTATTGTTAATTGAAACTTTAAAAAAATCATTTTTGTTCATTTAAATTAAGTGGAAAAAAAGTAAAACTTAAATAAAATAAAATATAAATATCAGATGATTACTAGTACTACAATTACTATCTAAAACAAATACAAATAAATTAAAGCTAAATAGAAATATTGAGGAAAAAACACGAATGAAGATGACAAAAGCACTTAGCAAAATTAATAAAAACTTGAAAATATATCATTAAATTAAATAATAATATAATTAAAATATAAAGAAAAAACTATATCATTAAATTAAATAATAATATAATTAAAATATAAAGAAAAATACTTAATAATAATTCATAATATATAATAATACATACATGAATAATACTACAATAAGTGGCATACTCTATTTGCTGACATATTTGCTGCCCATGATTAATTTATTTTTATTATTAATTCACCTCAGTAAAAATTAATGAATATGTTGTATTCGGCAGGACACGTGATCTCAACATGGTCCCACCCTTATGTAGACCACCGATTCATCTTATGAGAATTTACACACATTATTAAGTTCATAAATGATGTTCAATCATTGATTTTCTTGAGCAATCCTTCCAAGACCATTTTTCTGCTTTATAATGTCCCCAACATTTTTAGTAATACACTACTGCAGAAAATAGTATATTTGTATTTGTATATGTAAACATAAAACCGTTTGAGACCAGTAAGAGTTTATGGGTTCACTCCTGTTGGTGTTACTCACCAGTGGGTCGGCGTCGCTGTCGCTCTGAGTGCTCTGTTTGTTAAGGCCCTCTCTGGAGGCGGAGTATCCATCAAAGCCCACATCCTCTGGGCGGAGCTGCAACAAAGCTGGCCAATCAGGATGCTGATGAGAAGCTGCCCAGGGAAAAGTTTCCAGAACCCACAGCGCAGGATCCTCCCATGCCGCCCTGCGACCATACAGCTAAACAAATGCAAACAAACAGAGACTGAATAAACGCTTTGTGTCTATACACAGAAGGAAGAAAGAACTATGGGTTTGGATAATGGACTTGTAATGTTGTGTGAGGTGACTTTCACAGTTACATTTATTAAAACATATTAGTGTCGGAAAAGGTGGATTTTACTATAAACGAGGGCGGATGTTACCTGTAAGCCTTCTCTCACGGCCTCCAGCATGTAGGGGATGATGGAGTAGTTCCACAGGTCAGTGAACCAAACACGAGAACCGTCCACATCCATCGGACACGACAGGAACAAACGTGGACCTGGAACGAAGACACGTGACACTCAAATTCAACCCTTGTGGAGCAAATTAGTAACACTGAGAACGTCTGTTAACATTGGGTTTTAGTATGGTGGTTTATCTCCGTACCAATGGTCACATCAGAGGAGCTGTGAGCCTCCAGGAAGCGGTTGAGGTGGTGCCAGACTTGAGGGATCCAGTCGATGATCTTCACCAGCTCCAGGGTCCGTGTTCGGCTGCCGATCTCAGTCTCGATCAGCTTCCTCCTCAGAAACCGGCCCAGGAAACCTTTCACCGGCTCCATGTGATTAGCACACAGCACCCATCTGTAACGGAAAACACATGATGCTCACGTCAACATCATCACTGCCTTAGAAGATGTTAATTAAAAAGTTATAATCAATAAAAAAATAATATCTATCTTTCTATCTATTCTACTGTTCATTTAGCTGTTAATGAAAAGGACTTCTCATCACTGCTTTCAACAATAGTGCAATGGCGCCACCTAGAGGTCATTCCATTGCAGTTTCCCCATTAAGGCCAAGGTATCATTTTTAGTGCTAATTGAAGAACAACATAGAGAGCAGTTTTGTACCTGAAGTTATGATGAAGCTGCAGGTTTGGAGCAGAAGATGTCGCCTGACTCATCGTGCCGATTATATACGGGCTGCAAACACAGAGACAAAATAAAACCTTTAATTGTACACTCACTTGTTGTTGTGTTCGTGTGTATGTTTTTTTGTTACACTGACTGTCATATATTGTGTACACTGAATATTGTATAGTGTGTACATAAACACATGATATTTTTATTAATACCAATTATATAAATACACACTATTGTTCAAAAGTTTGGGGATGGTACGAATTTCTTTATGATTTTGAAAGACTATTGTTTATCAAGGCTACATTTATCAGCTAAAAATATAGTAAAAACAGACATATTGTGAAATATTATTACTATTTAAAATAACTGTTTTCTATTTGAATATATTTTAAACTGTAATTTATTCCTGTGATGCAAAGCTGATTTTTCAGCATCATTACTCCAGTCTTCAGTGTCACATGATCCTTCAGAAATCATTTTCATATGCTGATTTGCTGCTCAAGAAACATTTCAGATTTATTATCAATTATTAACAGTTGTGCTGCTTAATATTTTTGGGGAAACATATTTTTTTTAGTAGGAATATCAAAAGAACAGCACATCTTTTGTAACATTATAAATGTCTTCCACTTTAGATCACTTTAAGGTGTCCCTACTGAACAAAAGTATTCATTTCTTTCAGGATTAAAAACTACGGACATGAATGTATTAAATAAATAAAAAGCATGAGAGGCAGACTGACCAGCGCTGGTATTTGCAGTTCAGCAAGCCGTTGAACATCTCTCCCAGTGAGCTGACGTGATGAAGGTTATCCAGGATGAGCACAAGAGGGGCTTCAGTCTCCGGCCCGTCAGCACTGCACTGATCCACTATATTTGCCAAGTACTGACGCAACTCCTAGTAAATACATGTATACATCTTTACTTTTTAGTTGCCTTGCTCTTTTAGAAACTAGAGAGAGCTGATTCAAACAACATGGCTCACACACCAGCATTTTTGATTTAAAGAAAAGAAAAAAAACAACTCACTTTGCTGGATTTGTGGTCGACATTGAAGGTGACGATGCTGCTCTCATTGGGCAGTTTTCCCTCTCGCAGTGCCAGATGCTCCGCCAGTCTGTGGGCCAGGTAGGATTTTCCAGTGCCACTGGGGCCTGAAAGGATGATCCTGCGATGTTCCTGGAGCAAAGACACGTAGCGCTGGAGCATGGGCTTGGGAATCAACGTCTCGAAGACCAGAGAATCCTGGGACTGGGAGTTCACACCTGATTTGAGAGAAACACGCACAGGCACAATGTTAACAACAACAGAAATTTGGAACAACTATAACACATTGCGATAACAAATAAAACCGTGAACCTTTCAGCGAGACGTTGATCGTGTCATTCTCTCCCACGAGGTATCCACACGGCAGGAGTTCAGGTGTGTCTGTCCCGCTGGAGCGGATCACATCTCCAATACGATAGCCCTCAACACTGTCTGAACCCAGACCCAGATGACTGACCGGATCAACATGCCTGATGTACTCCTACAGAGAGACAATCACATAATCAAACCCAACGCTTACCCAATACCTGGATGGCGTGTAATACACTGTTATACAGTGTTGTTGGATAATACTGTATGTTGATTCCACATCTTTCTCAAATTAAACTAGAGCACTTTTTGCAAACCACTTCATGTTAAAAACCTCAATGAAAAAGCATTTCTGAAGAAAAAAGAGACTTCACAACATAAGTACCCATACTCAAAAAAAATTATTCATAAAACAAAAAATTCATAAAAATAGTTTAATGAATCTGTGTTGTATATTTGACAGTAACGAACTTCAGAGAGAGCTCAAGTAGTCGGATCTACACACTTTTCAGCATACACTTCTTCATGTCATCTCTGTGCCTTCTGCAACTGGTATATTAGCGACACCTACTGTTCATACATGTATTTCAATATACCACAATCAGTCTAATGTTTCTGAATGTAAACCACTCACCATCAACAAATGATTACAGTGATGTATGTGCATTACTTTACCTTAAACAAGCGCCGTACAACTCCATCAAGAACGTCCCACTTGGTTTTTCCACTGACACCAATGCAGCCGATCAGGAAATCTCGATTCCTGCTGTCCTGTGGGAGACAGAAGACACATCATTAAAACATTAAAGCATTTTTTCAAATCTTCCAGCAAAAAAAAAGCGGGAGAACTGACCTCTCTCCACATGACGTCCTCTTGAAGACTGACAACTATTTTCACATGTCTGCTCTCTTTCCGAGAGCTTCCGTCTCCACCTGAGTCATCCAGCAACATGTCTAAAAGAAGACGGACTAGATCTGTAATGCGCTTTTATGATTTTCCTCACATACAGCTACAAAATCAACCTTTAGGGAGCAACACAATATGTATTTTCACACACAAAAAAAACATTCTTGTACCGAAGCTGGTGGACTCTGTGAGATTGAGGCTGTGTTGAGACAGGCCAGGCGTCGGGGTCGGAGTTGGGTTATAGACGGACACTTGAGAGGACGCCCTGCTTCCACTGGCATGGCTTTCCAACTTAAGACGATCATTTTCCGTCTTTAGCTTCTCGATCTCCACCTATCAGACCACCCACACGGGGATACAACATGTAACATTCCTTTTTCTACTTAAAAATCCAATGAATCTGATTGGTGGGACTGCAAGAAGATAAGGTGAAGGTGAATCTCACACCTGCATGCGGTTCATAGCCTCGCGCAGCTGGTCCAGCTGGTGGGCGGAGCTTAAGGCTTCCAGTCGAATATCCGTCAACTTCATCTCCTTCTCTCGCAGCTCATTACGCAACTGCATCACAGTCTCCGCCTCCCCATCCAGACAGTCCGACAGTCTAAATCACAGCACACATGTCCTGATTAATATATCATTTCACCTTTATTTCAACAGTTTTAGTTAACAATAATCAGGTCAAGACACGAGCACACTCACATTGAGCTGGAGTGTGTGTTGCGGAGCAGCAGTGCTGAGGTGCCGGTGCCGTTGTGAGGGAGTTTGGGAGAGGAAGGGAGAGAGGAATCCGTCATCTCCTCGATGTCTGAGTGGGATGAGGCCGACTTGGGTGATTTCTTCTTACTGAAGGCCTGTTTGAAGGAGCTCCGCAGCTGCAACGACAGCAAACAGAACAGAAGATCATGAAGATGAGAGTTATTGGAAAACGACTGGGCAGCACTTAAAGTATGAGCAGGAGAAGCAGTACTGTGAGAACAGGGGAGGAAAACAGAGAGAGAAAGAAAGAAAGAAGGGAGAAACAGCCGAAAATAAAAAGCTAAGGTTGGGCATCATCCATATCAAAGTTTGAAGATAAAGCAGCCTTTTTATCTGTGATGTTTTATGTATAGATTTGAATGTGCTGAGCGTTTAAACTGTTATTTTGACCGTTTTAAATAATTACATCTGTTTCGGTAGAGTTTCAAAACCAAGAAGTTCATTATCAAGAAAAAAAAATCAAAACAAAGAAGTTTACATTAATTTACATTCAAAAGGAAGTTCATAATCAAATTCAAAATAATCAATAATCAAGTTTTTAATTAAAAAGTTGAAATAAAGAAATGTAAAATCAAGTTAAATTTTATTTTAAAAACAAATAAATTCAAAATCAAGAAATTGATCATCAAGAAGTTCAACATTTAAGCATTCAAAATCAAAAACTAAAAGTCAAGAGGTTCATGATAAAATCAAGAATTCAAATATCAAGAACCCATGACTCAAAGGTCAGGAAAAAGGGAAATAAATGTCAGACTTTGCAGTTGTCCCGTGTAACACTATGTACTAAAATAAATATTAGCTTAATTGTATAAATAAATTAGTGCTGTCAAATCGATTAATCACATCTAACATAACGCTTGTGTTTATATAATATATGTATGTTTGTGTGCGTGCGCATATCTGTCTATACACATACAGTACATACACATACATATATTATATAAACACAAACCTTTATGTTAGATGCGATAAATCACGATGAATCGATTTGACAGCACTAAAATAAATATAATGACTCAAGAAGGACATTATTTTGACTATAAAGGAAAGAAGGGGGAAAAGAGGGAGAAGAGAGACAAGCACAGCGAGCTGAGGAGCAGTGCATCTAACGGCTAGCAGGGTTAGGAGTGAAGCTGGGTTAACTAACACACTCTCTTACCTCATACACCTGCCACATGAAGCGAAAAAACAGAGAGACACAGAAAAGCACATTCAGCCGTGTGTGTGTTTGTGTCCCGTCACATGACACTATCAAATCACTGTCTACAACTTCTACCACTAAATCTGCGGGAAGAACAACTGAGTTGAGAGTCTTGCTGAACTACATCACCATGTTTCACCTGAAAACCCATCAAGACCAACACACACCCCTCAGTGATGCGTCCACTAGGACCAATCCACAAGCAATAACACAAATCGATTGCAGGAAGAGTTGATAGGGACCTAGTTAAGCTGGTTACCATTCTCCAAAACACTATATGACCGTCTGGACCACCAGAGGCTGATATGGCTTGTTTTTCGCTAACAGGACAGTGATCAATCTACAAAGCCGAATATCTCATTTAAACAACTAAAATCAATATAAGAATAACAACACAAACTGGGACACTAAACATTTAAAACTCAAACTGTTGGTGTATCGTTCAAAAGTTTGGGATCGGTACGATTTTTTCCATGTTTAAAAAAATTAATTAAAAAGTCTGTATAATTTATGCTCACAAGGATGCATATATTTAATAAAAAATACAGTAAAACATAATATTGTGAAATATTATTACAATTCAAAACAACAGTTTTCTATTTTAATATAATAAAATGTAATTCATTTCTGTGATGCAAAGCTGAATTTTCAGCATATACTCATCTTCAGTCACATGATCCTTCAGAAATCATTCTAATATGCTGATTTGCTGCTCAAGAAACATTTAATATTATTATCAATGCTGAAAACAGTTGTGCTGCTTAATATTTTTTGCAGAAACCAGTATTTCAGTATTCTTTGACAAAAGGAAAGTTCAAAGGAACAGCATTTATTTTAAATATTTTTTTTTATTATTGAAAATGTCTTTCATGTCAAAATCCTTGCGGGATAAAATTAATTTATTTCAAAAACCAACCAAAACAACAACAACAACAACAACAAAAAATCTTCCTGACCCCAAACTTTTGAATAGTAGTGTATATAAATCTACAAGACTGCTAGCCTATCAATGTTACACTTGTCCAAACATAACAGGGTAACTGTTGTCATTATTATTTAACATACGTATTCATATTCATATTCATCATCTGACACGTCACCTCCAGCACAGGACACCAGCTACAGCCAGCATGACACAGCAAAACAAGAAGTACAATGTATTAAACTCTATGTGCATGGTAATCTAACTTCCACTACAAAAAGGCAGGTCCTTAAATTTCGCATTTAATACAGTTTTCGGGAAAAGCGTCAGCATTTAGTTACATCACGGTAGGTGTTTGTTAGTAGTATTTATAATAATATTTTAAGTTTAAGCAACTTCAGACAAAAACATAAAAGACAAACGTTAGACACAAACAAAAGATAGAATGAAGAAGCACACAGATTTGCAACGGTTAAACAGTTCTTAGGACAATAAAGGGATAGTTCACCCAAAACTGACAAATCTGTCATCATTTAGTTGTTCCAAAACTGTATTAGTCTCTTTCTTCTGTTGAATATAAAAGATATTTTGAAGAATATGGGTAACTAAACAGTTGATGAGCCTCATTGACTACCATAGTATGGGAAAAAAAATACTAAGGAAGTCAATGTGGGACATCATCTGTCTGGTTACCCATATTCTTCGAAATATCTAGTGTTCAACAGAGAAAAAGAAACTCATACAGGTTTGGAACAACTTGAGGGTGAGAAAATGATGACACAATGTAATTTTTGAGTGAACTATCCCTTTAAATGTTGCTGAGAGGAGAGTGGACTCACCCAGTTCTTCTTCTTCTTCTTGCTGTTGGAGTCGGGGTTGTCCATGTTGGAGCCCAGGCTGGAGTGGCTGGTGGCACTGGTGATACTGGAGACGCTGTCCGACGAGTGCTGTCTGCGCATGCGCAGGTCCGGCTGCGCTCCTGGGGACGAACCATTTTTACCTGACAAATGGACAGAGATTTTAGTTGACATCAAGTGTGCCATTAATGTAAAAAACTGCAAAACTAACCAACACATCATCAACCAATCAGAACACAACGATGTCTGAAAAGCATCTACACATGAATGACAGATTTTAAATTTTGGGGTGAACTATCCATTTAAAGTAGAAGAGTAATTTTAAAGGGTTAGTTCACCCAAAAATGAAAATTCTGTCAGTAATTACTCTCCCTCATGTTGTTCCAACCCCGTAAGACTTTCGTTCATCTTCAGAACACAAATTAAGATATTTTTGATTAAATCTGAGAACTGGAGATTTCACGTGTGCTTCTTCATTCTATCAAGTGCGCAAAGCTTCTAGGTTGTACGTCACACGCATCACACACATGACCAGCGTCGGCCAATAGTGAGCCTACGTGTGACGTACAACCTAGAAGTTTTGAGCAATATCACTACGTGAAATCTCAAAGCCCACAGGGAAGGAAAAGAGTAGTTGAATAAAGTCGTTATTTTTGTTTGTTTTTTGCGCACAAAAAGTATTCTCGTCGCTTGATAAACTTAAGATTGAGGCACTGTAGTCACTCGGACTATTTTAACGATGTCTTTCATAACTTTTGGGCCGGTCAGTTTCGATCCCTTAAGAAGCCTATGGAGGAGTGATCCAGCTCTCAGATTTAATCAAAAATATCTTAATTTGTGTTCCAAAGATGAACGAAAGTCTTACGGGGTTGGAACAACATGAGGGCGAGTAATTACTGACAGAATTTTCATTTTGGGGTGAACTAACCCTTTAACACATTAAAGGGAAAGATAGATGCTCATTTAGCACATTTAAAACTGCATATATTTTGTGTAAACGTATAGTTGTAGTGGGTTTGTTAAATCTGATTATAATACATTTCTTTATGTGTGGGTCTATTGATTATTCTCTCTCCCTCACCTGTGCGTTCACTCTTGCAGGAGAGTTCTGGGGTGTTGATGACACCGTTGATGGCTGCTTGAGCTACTGCGTTTTGCTTCTTTAGCAGCTCAATGGTTTTCCTCAACTCGTTCAGCTCAGAGTCCTAACACACACACATATATTTATTGACAATGCATCTGCAAAATCAGTTTCTCTCTATGTCTAATAATGAACAAGTGTGATAAATCCAAATGAAAGCGTGCAGATATTTACTTTCTGTTCTGCGGTCATGGTGAGGCTCTTCAGGCGGATGGTCATGTTGCCTAAACTCTGCTCAAACGCTGCCACCAGGTGGGCCTAATAAAGAACAACAGGGGAGAAGAGGTAAACTAAAGAAAGAGGGTTCTTCAAAGTTCAAAATGACGTCTTTGTTGCATGCATGTATCATAGCTACACAATAATACTCCATTCACATAATAAATGGGCATTGTGCAATCTGCCTTCAAGGGAGTAAAATCAAATGTCTAAGCAAAGCTTTCTCCTTTGTGATGATAACACGAGTAATAAAAAAAAGCATTTTGCTCAAAGCTGCATGACCTGTGCATGAGACACCTGTTTATTGAAATGTAACTGAAGCAGCAAAGCTCAAACTTACTAAATAACAATCTTTACCTTTAAACAAACACTTAGATGTGCAATCTAAACTCTGGCCCGTATCCCAGACTAACAAGCAACAACAAAAACCTTCTTTACCCTGTCATTACAATATACCTTTCCCTCGAAATCTCATTTTCCCTGTAGGAATAAAAAAATAAAAAATATTTTAACATTTAAACTGTTTCTCCTATTCCACAATGAGATTAAATGGAGATAAAATTGAGACTTTTTCTAAAGTCTCTTGATGCTCAGACTTTTCCCCTTAGAAATCAACCTCAATATTCACACACACACCCTCTAGAGTTTTAAAACAGATCTCAACAATGCCTCAAATTGTGCTCAGTTAATACATTTCGAAAAAGAGACTTCAAATATAAACTCAAACAAAAATCTAATCTAAACTAATTTTACAGCTCCTTTTATATACCAACAATTGTCTCATTGGTTTCAGTGTAATTTCTCATGAGATATTTTAAAGAAAATATAATTTAAAGCTAATACTCATAAACTATGAAAGAGCAACCACTAAGCATAAATGTATCTTCTGGGTCATCGCCTCACCTTACATCCAACAGGGTCTTGGGAGCTGTCAGTTGTCTCCGTAAAGCCTCCCTGTCTATATTTGTCTTTCTGAGAGGGAGCGTGTTTCTCTGTGCACCCATGGGAAGGGTAGCGGTTCAAAGGGAGCCATTTCAGAGAGCTGGTCCCGTCAGAACACACATCACAAGAGCTCCTCTGCTGTTCCATAGATAGCTCAGCTTCAGATAACTCGACTACAGCGGTATATTATGAAGCGGTGAAGCTCCTCCTAGCATTGATAACTGAGACAGACAAAGCAGAGAGGCCGCCCGGGGCCTTGACATGTTTCACTGGAGTCTCAAGGGCCCAGTCGTGTTTTTAATTATCTTTTTCTTTCTATTGGGATATTCACACTGCTCCATAGCTGAACACCCCAAAAAGAGTTCAGCATACCGAATATGATCATCAAACCAAAACAATGCGCTGCATACGTCAAAACTAAACCTTCCCTTCATTCAATGCCAATCAAGAATCGACTTTGTTTTCAACAAGTTCATGTTTATGTTACGTCAGAAACTGTACACACACGTGCTTGCAATGGAAAACATGGCAATGCACCAAAAATAGAAAAACTAGTCTTTAGAACACAACTCCTCTTTTGTTAGTACCTCTAAAACATCTTGTCTAGTTAGTACTTACAAGCCAGGATTTTGCCTTAGGCATAAGACACGTCTTTATGATTTACACATGCATTTATCTTCAGGAGGACATATCAAAAACACTAAACACAGTCTGTACCGTACCATTTGTCCTTAGTCATAAAATATCAAATCAAACACAGTCTGTTTCTCTGGTGGAAATGGCACATATCTGTTCTGACAAGTCTGTTCCGCAGTCTCGCTTTTAATTTAGTTTATTATACTTTATAGATATACACTGGCCGCCAATAGTTTGTATTTTCATAATTGTGACTATTAGTGTTGGGGAAAGTTACTTTTAAAAGTAATGTGTTACAGTATCGTGTTAGTCCCTAAAAAAGGTAACTAATTCCGCTACTTAGCTCCTTTAATGTAAAGTAATGCGTTACGTTTGTGTTATTTTTTCTCACCCGGGCTGGGCTTGCTTGTTTGTTTTTTAATAACACAAAAAGTTGTATTTTTGGCAAATGTAATTGTCCTTCCACACCAAAAGTTTTTAATGCGTTACCCCGACACTGTTGACTATATCTAACAAAACGACTTCTCACAATTTGGACTTTTTTTCGGATAACTCCGACTTTTATATCTAAAAATTCTGACTATTGTGATTTTCTTCTCATATTTGTGAAAAATGTTTTACCTCAGAAATGCGACAATGTTTTTAATAATTGTCATTTTACATCTCGCAGTTGTGACATTTTTTGATAATTGCGTCTTTATACCTCAAAATTATGACAATTTCTTAAAATTGCACTTTTATATCTTATAGTAGGTCTTTAGACCTCAAAATTGTGACTACCTCTCACAATTTCTACTTCATTGCTTCAATAGCGTCACACAATTATAACTGTACAACTGTGACTTTATTTTTTCGCAATTGCAACTCTCATATAGTAGAGTAATCACTAAAAACGTAAAAAAAAAACAGGTTTAAATAAATGGGTAAGTACAGAAAGTGTAGGAAAAAGTATTACAAAAATACAATAGACTGTGTTGCTGAAGCCCTATTGAATAAAGATAAAGACAACTGGAAACTCCAATGAGGTCATGATCGACGCTGACATTAATCAACCACACAACCCACACAGGCGTCACTGGGATTACGATAACACCATTTATATGACGCCTCAGGTTGACAACTGACACTAGATACGGAATTGGGAATTAATTATGCCCCATAGATACAATAAAAGAATGAAGAACTATGTATCTGTGTCCACCTACATTGGCACTGAGTTGTGTCGTCAGGGCGGACACCTTTTCCTGGGAGGAGTCCAGTTCTCGACGCAGCTTGCGGATCTGGAGAGAGAAAAAAATGCAGAACAGAAACAGGTTGAAAAAAAAGTGCTGATGAAAAGAAGAGGAAAGGGAGGCACACACAAGGGATCCAGGTGTGTCGTGGAAAGACAACTGTGTGATTTGGTATCAAAGGGGGGAAACAGTTTGCAGGTGTATGTACAGAATAGAGGTGTGTTGCACAGGTGGACGTAAAGATCACAGAGATGTGCGGTGAAATGAGATCCGACCGTGAATCCACCCACAGTTTGTGTTCACAACAGGTCAATGGTGGTGAATAAACACACGACTGATGGCAATGTGCTTCACAGGTATGTGGGGTGGCGTGTGTGTTGTTTTTGCGAAAGGAAAAACATGTCCTCACCTCTGAATGTGATTTCTCCTCCGTCTGTTAAAATAAAAAGACATAGTAATTAGCATGTTTAAACAGCATATTTGCACAGCTTTTCTTGTATGGCAGTTGAAAAATGAGCTGCTTTCTGTCCCGAGGGTATAAAACGAACACCACAGACAGCAACACACACCTGAAAATGAACAGAATGATATCCCTAAAGCTCTAGAGAGAGAATATTCCTTTTTCCTGTGATTTATGAGCTACTGGTACACTCTCAGATGAACAGGAAGTTGGACACATTTGAATATCACTGAGAGTGATTCATTGAACACATTTATTTGTTTGGAGTTGGTTACTAGATAATACCAGGTATCACCCACAGCTGAACTGAAACGTTTCTGTAAAGCCGGACGATCATGTGATATGAAATGCATGATATGAAAATGACCTAAAGAGCATCTTGAGCTTCAATGGAAGCAAGAACAACTGACTTTTGGTACAAAAGAGTCAAACTTTGATTAGTGATCTAGAAATAAAGTGCATTATGAAATATTTCTCATTCATAAAATGTCTTAATTATTTCAAAATCTTTTTGAAAACATGCTTGCTGACACATGAAAGCTCAAGACAACAATAGCATTCTAGTGCTCTTTGTGTGGGATCTGGCATGTAATGACATCCACCAGGTGTGTAACGACATCACACTATAATGATTTTTAATGCAGTCGACACTAGTCTGACAGCTAGACTGACAGTGACAATAAAACAACAGCATTGTCTGTCCGTCACAGCATTATATGACATGTGGGACAAACCCGCCGGCGTCTAGCTGGTTTCGGTTTAATCACATCTCGCTTTTTGTAAATGTGTTTGACTATGCAAACTCAAAATGGTGACTTTATCAATGCAACTCTGATCAGAAGAGCTTTTGTTTGACTTCTCTGATCTTTTGTTGACTCTGAGACTGAAGATTGTCCTGTCATTATATCTGGCTTTTGATGAGCGTCCCGTACTCTGCAGTACAGAATGAATCGGTGCTTTCAAAGGCAGCACAGAGTTGTTGTTTTTTGTATGTCTGTTTCTAAGAAACATTGTGTTTCTGCATGACAGCTGTCACCCACATACACAAACACTTTACAGCCTCCACCTACAGACAAAACACAACTAAAAGGAAGATCTGCTTGAATCTGTTCCTGGATCAGCATTAATACAGACTGCAGAATCAATGAACTCAGTTTAAGTCCAGCAAGATACAAATACACATTTTAAGTCAACATTACACACCATGAGTTACCTGTTTACTGGTACTTTATTAAGAATGAATGTTAATAATATTTTGAATGTTAATATATATGTAAATAGAGAATGAGAGTAATCTAAAAGTTAAGGTTCCTACCGTGTATCCCCAAGCACTCACAGCTCTCCCCATAGAGAGAGTCGCCATCATCATGTCTTTCCAGTCTTTATACTTTAGTAAATCTGATCCTTTTTAGATAAATCTCTACAACCCAAGTACGTAACTAACTAGGCTAACTCATCTGCTCCTGAAGTCAAGCTCATCTGAACTGAAGACTCACTACACGTGTGCCAGAGAGAGAACTGTTGCTAAAACACTGCAGGTGAAAGGAGCCGCCCACATGGAGGTGTGGCACTCTAACCTGATATACCATATAATTACTGAGTGAAATATCTATACATTTGTATAACGATTTTTGACAATTTTGGTCTTTGTAATAAAAACTCTAAAAGGGCTTAAAAACTCACCGTTGAATAGACAGATGAGGTACTGGACACCAGAGAGAGGGACGATCCATGAACTAAAGGGATAAACACACATTTATAGAAATTAAGACTTGTTCTATTATGAAACACTTGCGATTCTACGGTGTTGGGGTGTAACAACCTGTTGCCAGGCAACATAACAAAACCCCCAGATCAAAAGTACATCATATGTTACGCAGCAGAGAAAGTTTTAACACTAAAAATCAATACTTAATGAAAATTGTAGATTTTAAAGTGCACAATACAGATTACATCCAGCGAAAATAACAAATGTTCATTTCTCCTAAAAGCAATGTTAACCCCCAGTTAACCTACACAGACAAACACACAGACAAAAGCATCGACCCACACACACGTCTAACAACCAAAACCTCTAATTAAACTTTCACCTGCCCCGACAAGATGTGACTCATCAGGGGTAATAATAGCGTCAGTCAGAGATTGCAAATCTGATCTTGAATGTGAGTTCAGAGGTGTGACTTCAAATCATTTCCCAAACAAATCACAGACATCAGCCTAAACACAGTCCACCCACGGGTCGCTTGGCACTTCCTGATGATGCCAGATCAGCCTAACGGCTGCATGGGCGTGATGTACGTGGGGTTACAGATGTGAGAATGAAAGACCAGCGGCACTTATGAACTTGGCTGAGGACCACCCAGAAAACCAAAACATCATCTGTGTGCTGAGAAAGTAATGTGTGTATGTGTGTGTGTGTGTGTGTGTGAGAGAGAGAGAGAGAGAGAGAGAGAGAGAGAGAGAGAGAGAGAGAGAGCTTCAGACAGACAGACGGATGGACAGACAGATAGATAGATACAGTAGATAGACAGACAGACAGACAGACAGAGGCTGAGGATATGAAATGTATCTTCTCTACTTCCTGTGTGTGGATCAAGTCCTTTCTTAAACCTGTTCCCATGATCCCTTAGGGACTTTTATAACACTCGTGTTTCAGAGTCACTGAGTTCAGACCCATGTTAGTGGCACATATACGGTATCATATTCTGATTCTGAACAGAATGTACATGGCTTTAAACCTGTATTCTGTTTCAGAAGTGACACTAAAGACACTGTTGTGTAATACTGGGTTACTGTGCCACGAGTGCCAGTTTATGGCTTAACTGTCTTGGCTTGCTTTGTCAATCATCTTGTAGAAAAGACTCACAACAGGTAAATGAGTGAAGAGAGAGAGAGAGAGAAAAGAAAATTAAAATGTAACAAAGCTTTATGTACACAATGATTCTTTAAAAAGACTGAATGTCTGTTACTGCAATCAGTTGTGGAGAAGAGAACAGAGATTGTTGGCTTAGTCTGATGGGTGAATAGACTGAGGGTAGACATGCTGGATTCAGATGTCTGTGAGTGTATTTCAGCATGGAGTTCTTATTCTTAATCTTCAGCATGACGATCTTATTCTTAAGCATTCCTTCTATCATCTTTGAGAACAACAGTGAATGCCTACCTAGACAATATTTTTAAGTATTATAGGGGAGTATGAATGTATTGAACTCAATGCAACATTTTCAAAGTAGTGAACCTTTCTTTCTCACCTTCCTCGAACCCGTCCCTGAAAGATCCCGACCGGCTCATGGTGCGGGTCTTCTCATCCAGCGACATGCAGGAGTTGCGCAGACGGGAATCACCATGGCTGTCCAGCGGGACGTCCTGATTGGTCAGGCTGTTGTTGCGAAGGCTGGCCAGGTTAATCTGAGCACCTGTTGTGGGGCTTCCTGTAAATTACACACAATGACACGTAATCATTTTAGATAAGTCAAATAATAATAGTAAAGTGCACACTTAGGTATAAAATAAGTCTATTTTTGTATTAATTCTGATATATTGGCACGCATTTATACAGTGCATTTGAGAAATATATCAAGTATTATATATTCATTCATAGTATATGCATTTTACCAAGTTGAGCAAAGTTAAATCTTGTTCCAGACGGTGACGTCAAGCTGGAACCGGTGGAGAAGGGAGAGTTACTGGCTGATTCCTGCAATCCACCAGCCGAATGTGAGCGCAGCCAATCACGCGCCTCTTCCTGACGCAGCTGTGGTGAAGGGGCGTACCTGCAACAAGAGCATCATCCAATCAGATACCAGCATTCAAATGTCACTATTACAAATACTGCGATCTGAAACCTGACCAATGCAAGAGGAAACAAAGACACTTTAGTATATATAAGGTCATTTTATATTTCTAATTGTATAGTGTTGTATTTTAAATATTATGCATATACACTTTTGTTCAAAAGTTTTTATGAAAGAAATAATTAGTTATATATCCAGCAAGGATGTATTAAATTGATGAATAGTGACAGTAAAGACATTTATAATGTTACAAAGGATTCATGTTTTAAAAAAAATGCTGTTCTATTTAACTTACAGTAGTTTCTATTCAATCATTCTGAGAATACTGAAAAAAATGTATTAAGCATTGATTTCTGAAGGATCATGTGACACTGAAGACTGGAGAAAATTCAGCTTTGCCATCACAGAAATAAATGACATCTTAAAATATATTAAAATAGAAAACAGTTATTTTAAATTGTAATAATATTCAAAATCGTACTGTTTTACTGCATTTTCTACCAAAAAATGCAGCCTTGGTACAAACATAAGCTAACTTTTGAATGGTAGTGTATATGAAAATATATTTTACATTTTAGGATATCTATAACTAACATTAAGGTGTAATATATACGTTGCATTCACACACACAAAAAAATAAATGTTCATAAATTACTTTATGACCATTAAATAAAACATTAATGTTTAAAAAAAAAAAAAATTATTCAGAATTCACCAGTAAATTGCAAAAAGTGTAAGAATTACGAATAAAAATTGTGCAACAACTTTGCAGACAAATAAAGTAATAAAACTGTGGAAAGAAAAACACATTTTTTCCAAAAAAGCTGCTAATTCACATACAGTACATTATGTGATACGAACTCTGTACAAGTGACAAGTGCCATGCGCTCACACCAAAACTGCAACGGAAAACAGTGCTCAAAAATAAAACTGTGGCCGCACTGCATATTAAAACATGGAAGCATGTGCGAGAGATCAGAGAACAGAAAGAAAGAGAGCATGAGTGTCATTGCAGTAAGATCGGCATATTCCCACAATGCACCTGTACTTGAGTCCCCTCTTGGGAAGCGTGCTTCTATCACTGCAGGAATCGCTGAGAGACGGATAAAATGAATCAGCGAGGGAGGAGAGGAACTTAATCATGATGAGGGATGGTATTCCAGACAGATAATAAGCCTTAATTCGATTATAATTGCACTATTAAAGGTGATCATACTTTGATTAATCAAGAACTCAAAATAAAAACTAATCTTGACTGTGAGGTCACATTAATTTGAAGGCAAACAAACCATATTTGTAATGAAAGCTCTGGCTTTGATTGATCAAAGTTATGGATTTCACCACTAGGCGTGGCTAGAGTAACAATTGCCAGCAGTTATGACAAAATATTAAGGGTGCGCTTAAAGGTAGGGTAAAGGCAATGTTTTTCATAAACACTTTTTGTTACACTGTGTTAGCAATAAAGCATAGAAGTGGTCTAAATCAGAGCTGAGGGACAAGTTTACAGTTTATGTCAAGTTTAGGCTTACAACCAGGGTTAGATGCTTCTATCACCTATCATTTCCCTCTGATTTTAGGGATAACATATGGGTAGGGCTATGGATAGGGTTAGGAGTAAATTTCCGGAAAAGAATGTTGTTTTCAGGAGCAACACAATATGTTGATGCAGGGGCATGTCTTACTTGGCAAAATTACGGTGACCTCACTTGACCTCAAAACTAAGAACAAAACCGCAATTTAGATTTTTAATGAGTCTTTAAAACTACTGTATAAAAATTACGCAAACACAAAAACACAAAGCCATGTCAGTATTAAAAAGCAGCAGAAGTGGACCCAGAAGCTATGGGACATTTTACCTGTCTTGCTTCCGTGGCAATGTGTTACGGCTGAATTTAGGACTCGCAGAGGGAGAGGAGAGGGGACTTGGGGAATGTAGAGGGGAGAGGAGAGGGTTGATAGAGAAACAGATCATTGGAGAAGAGATGAATACAGAATTAGAGACACCCAAAGAGGCTTCCACACTGCAGTATCACACATTTTTGACAATTCTGTCATCATTTACCCCATTGACTTCCATAGAATTTTTTTCTTACTGTGGAAGTCAATGGGGTCCATCATCTGTCTGGTTACCGACATTCTTCAAAATATATTTTCATACATTCATACAGGTTTGAAACAACTTGAGGGGGAGTAAATGATGACAGAATTTTCCTTTTTAAGTCAACTCTTCCTTTAAGGTTTTTCTGAGCACTGTGATAGAACAATGCTTGTTTAATTTACACTTGAAATCCTAAAGTTTATCCATCATCTGGGTTTTTTAACAAACACTAACTTAGTATGAACTGAATCAGAATCTGAACTGAAATCAGAACTCTGATTTGGATTCGGATTCAGTAGATTATGCACACACTGCTGCTAAATACACTTGTCACACCTCTTTTTCTACAGTTATCACTATGTCAATCATATCAAATTTCATGACTGACTCCTGTATCCCTAAAATTTACATATACCGAACATTTAGAGGATTCACAGCATTTAAATGTGGTTGTCACTCCTAAAACTTTGTAGTGTGTGTGTGGATATTCACGATATGTGTGATGTTTCAACAAACTGAATAGAAAATATGAACTGAATAGTAATTCCGAATCAGAATGCGATTTGGATTCGCATTCCGATTAAGAATTCTGATTCTCGAAGACCACACACACACTGCAGCTGTCATGTCTCTTCTTCTATTGCCATTAAAATGTGAGTTCAGGAGTGACTCCTGGATAATAATAATAATTTAGAAGATTCATAGTCATAACCACATATATTTGTGGTTACCCCCGTTTGCAGTGCAAATGTGACATTTTAGAATAAAAAAAAAAAAACGGATTCTAATTCAAAATCAAACATAATTCAGATTAGAACTATAGGTCACATTTTAGTTTAGGGTTCAATTCTCATTTTTAACTACCTATTAACTATGCATTTTGCCTCAGTAACCTCCTAATTACTGCTTATTAATAGTTAGTAAGGTAGTTGTTGAGTTTAAGTATTGGGTTGTATAAGGGATGTAGAATATGGTCATGCAGAATAAGGCATTAATATGTGCTTTGTAAGAACTAATAAACAGCCAATATCCTAGTAATATGCATGCTAATAAGCAACTAGTTAATAGTGAGAACGAGACCCTAAACTAAAGTGTTACCAAACTATAAATTCTGAATTATACATTACAATATTTCAATATTCCAGACCAGTATTAGAGATAAAAAAAAGTTTTTTCCTACTCTCTTCCAGACTCACCTCTCTGACATGCCCATCTTGGCGCTACCCGTTCTCATCAGTGCCAGGTGAACATCCTCACGGTGATGCCCGCTGCCTACAGACATGTCAATGGACTCGCTGCTGGTGTGCATGCTGCTCACAGAGGGGTACCCGAGAGCCGAAGAGCTGCTGATGGTGGTTCCCCAGGTCCCTGTGCCCGTAGAGTACACCGAACCAGGGCTCGAAGCTTGTTCGCTGCCCCCTACGCTGGCGCCGCGACCCCCGTACAGGGGACTGCTGCTGCCACTACCTGGCACTGTGGAGGGGGAGTCCAAGGGCCCGCCGGAGGACTGGGTGTGCCCAAGGGTAGCGTGGGGGTTGGAGATGACCACAGAGTTTTTCATGCTCTCTGCAGTGGTGACTGGGGCTTGCTTGGCAGCCTTACCTCCAAAAAGTCTGAGAGAAACAGAGAATTGATTAAATCCAATTACAGTCAAGCCAAAATTTATTCAGACACCTTCAACATTTCTCACATTATCACAGTTTATTCGCTATAGTTTAAACCAGTCACATGTCGCACAGGTAATATTGGTGGTAATAGCGAAAAATACTTTGTATGGGTCAACATTTTCAATTTTTCTCGTATGCCAAAAATCATTCGAATATTAAGTAAAGATCAAGTTTCATGAAGATATGTTGTAAATTTCCTACCGTAAATATATATAAAAAATATATTTTTGTGAGGGAATGCTGCAAAATCACGAACAGAAATGGACAACTTTAAAGGCCATTTTCTCAATGTTTACATTTTTTTTGCACCCTCAGATTTTCAAATAGTTGTATCTCGGCCAAATATTGTCCTATCCTAACAAACCATAAATCAATGGAAAGCTTATTTATATTAATCTCAATTCAGAAAATTGACCCTTCTGACTGGTTTTGTGAACCAGGGTCACAAATCAGTTGATATTTCACTGGTTTGGGCCATCCTTCTGTTAGACTGTCACAAATGAATTAGGTTGAATAGCAGTGAGCTGTTACATTTAAGTACACAATTAGATAATACCAATTTAGGTCAATAAATTACCAAGTAATGCTTAATTTTGTTCAGTCTGTGGTGTAAAAAGTTCGCATTAGCAATTAAAGAAAAAACACTTAAGAAAACATGGTCAGGTCAAAGTGTCTGAATACATTTTGGTCCATTTTTTTTAATACATTTTACTGGTAGTCCACTGTATGAAGAATTTTTGGGTATAATATGTCACAGTTTACTTTATTTTGTAAAGTTTACTTTACACAGTTTACTTTATCCTCACTTACATAAATTAACTATAGTGTCCTGCACCCACTAGTAAAAAAAATATTATTAATGAAAAAAAAAATATATTATATCTGATGTCTGAATAATTTTTAGTTTGACTGTATATTAACAAAATACTTTTTTAAACAAAAAATATGAATGGTGTTGTGTATCGGAGTCTATCATTTTCTGGTCTCTAGATGGCTTGGTCTTTCCTTCAACGTTAGTCTATGGGAATTTCCCCTCTATTTATCATCCATAAAAAAATAAAAAATAAGTCTGATCAAGTCCATAACACAAACATGCAGGAGTTAAACACCCTGAAGTATGTGTAATGTGCAAGTTTACTAAATATGACTGATACTTGCAAAGCCATACTTCTCTTTATTTCCAACCTTTAATGTTCACTATGTCCCTTTCAACCCATGAAGCTGAAGAGAAAAAAGCATGTTTCTATCCTTAAAAATTGTGGGAAAAGATTCAAATAATCAATAACACGAGCAGCAAAAAACGTGAGCCACCCCAAACAGTCGTGATCTATGACTGTCATAAAGCAGGTTAAGTAAACAGCTTCAGAAAGACCCTAACTACGCAATGGAGGAGGTTAACTCATTCCTTCTTTCATATGTTTGGCTATGTACTGTAAGTGGGGCCTGAGAAGATGAATAGAGCCATTAATTATGGAAGCGTCAATGAAAACTCAGATTTATAAGGGTGAAATTCTGTGGTATGTTGAACCGTGGCCACCCTCCCTATTTGTACCTTCGCAGTGTAGGGGACGAGACCTCACTGTACTTGTTCCCCTGCCTCGCTGTCTGAGGAATAGTAGCAGCCCCTCCTCCCGAAACTATCGGACTGGATCTCAGGTTGTCCATCTCTGAAGTCACGCCCTTCTCTTTGTCCGTCTGATTGGCTTGGATTACGTGCCCGTTGGTTTTAGGGGCGGAATCTCTCGGCTTATTGGCTGTGATGGTAGTAAGGACGGGCGTTCGGGCACTCAGGCTCGACTCGATGCTGCTTGTGGACGATCGGTTCCCGTTGCGGGCCGCGGCTCCGGAGCGGGACGGTCGAGGAAGACTACGGTACTGCAGTGTTGAACGAGCACTGGGGGACAGGTAGCCATCCTCCTGAGGGGGCAATAAACCATCCACAGCCCCTTTTAAAGACCCTCTCCCACCAACCAGAAGTGCGGATGATTTGGGAATCTTGCCCAGGGTGGCGGAGCCGCTGGTAATGGTGGCACCGCTCGCTGTGACCAGTGTGATGCTGGAGGTGGTTCCCACAGTGTGGACGCCGTTGGGCTTCTTGAAACCGAATGTACTTGTGGGGACTCGACCTGCTGGGGTTTTCTTGGCTTCGTCTCCGCTGCTTCGACCGGCGTCTGAGGAAGAATGCTGGACGATGTTGGAAGAGGGAGACATACGGCCTTTTTCCGAGACCTTAGCGTCATCTGTTTTACCTATTGGAAAAAAGAACGCTACAGCTGGAAGAGTTGATCATGCACAAAAGTTGCAGATAATGTCAACACTGTGTGTGGGATTTCACTGTGTATTAAATTAAACTAGGGCTGCATGATTTGGGGTGGGGGGGGGGGGGGGGGGGGGGGTGGGGGGGGTCGAATTGCGATTAAAAAATGTGCAAAAAAAAGAGATCTAGGTTTGCTGTGCTTGTTTGTAGGGCAGCACAATTTTGGCAAATGTTTTTTTAATTATATATCAATATGACTGTATAATAATAATAATAATTATTATTATTATTATTTTATATTATGATTATTATTATTACTAAATAAAAATATTATACAAAATAAGACCTATTACGATTGTAATATTTAAGTGCAAATAAAAAAACTAAAAAAAATTGCTGACAAAATGATGAAAAAAGAATGCTTTTATTTAGGGCTGCAAAATCTAGCTATTTTTTATTATATATAAATAACACTAAATAATAATAATTATTATTATTTTCTATTATGATTTTTATTATTACTAAATACAAATATAAAACAAATATGAAATATTAGTATTGTAATATTTCACTGCAAATAAAAGAAACAGTATTTAAGAAAAAATATTTTACAGTACAACTGTAATATAATAATAATTGCAATACTTTCTTCATTTTCAAAAGTTAAACTCTCATGCTTTTATTTTGGCGGAAAGGCCTTAAAGCTACTCATTTGTTGACAACAGTCAGTTTATAAGCGCTTCTCATTACAAGTTTGGTGCATGCTGCATTCCCAAATGTATGTTACAAGCATTTCAAACTCAATGCCATATGAATGGATGGGCATCGAGTGGAGATTTTATTGTGAATAAAGACACTGAAAACTCTGGATCATGTAAAAAAAAAAAAAAAAAAAAAAAAAAAAACACGGTCCCGCGATTCACTCTGAAACAAGCAGTGCGTATATTTATTTGATTAAATAGTGAAGCCGCAAATTAAACTTTTCTGAATTCCATGCTTAAAAAACACCACTGACCAGTCACAGCTGAAATATATTCAGAACGCTCTAGGAAAGAGAACACCTACCTGTCCCTTGTGTCTTAATGGCGCCGGTTCCAGTGGTTCCGGTTGAACTTTTGGTCCGGGGTACGGTCACGCCCACCTGTGCACTCATGCCCCTCCTCCATGAGCCGGTCTGAGAGATGGGTGCAGTTTTTCGCCCAGAGCTGCTCTTATCTGACTCCTCCGACACATCTGAAGGGTTCCTCCGCCACTTCAGACCTCCATCCATTTTGATGCCACAATCCAAACCCCCATCCGACTTCTTGACCTCATCACTGGACCAAGCAGTGTTGCGTTCGCCTGCTGAATGCTTCTCTGTGTCTGTCTGAGGATATGGAAAACAATACCCAATTCAAATCAACATTATGAATATATCAATATTAGAAAATACTCACATATTGTATGGTAATTAGACTCCAAATTTCAGAATTGAGTAATTAGTTATTATCAATATATTTCCTTATAATTACCTGTATAATTCTACGCCAAAATGTATTACAATGTCAATAAAGCAACAAACGATCATAACTTCCAGTACATTTGGTGGCTTTAGAGTTTGCAGGTTTTCATTCCACCCACACTTACCAAACTTTGCATTTCAATATAATGAGAAATTATAGTCCTGAAGTCAAACTTATTTGCCCTTAACCACTTATTTGTTCCACTGTTTTATTGCAAAGAGGCATGTCAATTACTTTGGCTTAAATATTGACACAACTCCACCTATTTAGCACTTTATGAGGGTCTTAAGCAGGGGAATGTGAGAGTTGGGTTCAAGTAAACAGAAAAAGAAGGGGGTTTTACTAGAAGAAAGAAAGGGGGTGGACAGAAAGAGCACAGGAGAACAACCTCTTTGTGTTTAAGATGTAGTTGGATATCAAATAAATGCTATATAGAGGGGGAATTAAGAAACAAAAAATGGCTGAAAAAATATTTAAAAAAAAATAGTTTTTGCAGTTCAGTTCAGTTTTTGCAGTCCAGTTCCAGTTCAAAAGTAAGATACTGTAATGTTTTTGAACATGAAGTCTCTTATGCTCATCACGGCTGCCTTTATTTGGTCAAAAAATACAGTAAAAAGTAATACTATGAAATACTACTGCAATTTTGTAAATAACTCTTTTCTTGATGAACTTGATGTTTGATGTTTCTAGATGTTTCAACTGGGACCGAGAGTTTATGCTTTTAACATCAATGTACAGTTGCATCTCTAACAAAGCCAGATGCAACATTTTCTATACACTACATTTTCTGTACGATTTCTATAGAGTTGAGCTGAGTAATTAACTGTTATAAGATCTAAAACTTTCAGGTTTTACACAAAGGTGCATGCACAGATATGTAATGTTAATATTCATAAATAAATGCATACTGTAATGGTATGTGTGTGTAAATGTGCGCGGGTCATACCTGTCCATTCAGGGCCTTACGGGACGCGGCGGGGGTGTTGGCATAGGAGCTTATGGAGGAGCTGGTGTTGATGTCATCAGTATCAATAGCATCACTGATCCCACTGCTGACTGAACTGCTGTCATCCCAACTGAAAGAGCGATAAAAAAAGGTTTAGACATTATATGAGCCTTTGTTTCCAAAGATATGAATGTTATGGAACTTGTTAAGTTCTGTTCATAGCAGAAACAATATATAGAAACACATCTTTGGACTGGGAAAAACAGCATTAGTAGTGATTTTTGAACCACATCAGAGCTATAAAGACCACACTATATGATGGGCTTTTAATATTGTACATGACTGTACATTTTTGGATCTGATGAGGGTCACAGTGGCTAACCAGAGTAACTGATCGCTGTGTTTAACAGCATCCCTCGCTCTCGGGTGGCCACCATCATTCAGACCGTACTATGACAACAAAAGAAAACACAAACAAACACACACTAGCTCAAACACACAGGCCACACAAGGGTACAAGTGACCAATGATCTATCTATCTATCTATCTATCTATCTATCTATCTATCTATCTATCTATCTATCTATCTATCTATCTATCTATCTATCTATCTATCTATCTATCTATCTATCTATCTATCTATCTATCTATCTATCTATCTATCTATCTATCTATCTATCTATCCATCATGAGAGTGCAACAACATACTTCCTTTTGTTATCCTTTTCTCGTTTTTTGCTGCATAGACGCATGTTGACACCTCAGCATCAAAGTTTGGTATAAATGCTTTTATCATGTAAGAGTTCTCTTTGACATGACAGCAGACACACATAAAGAGTAGGAGACAGAAATCTTAAGTCTCAAAAAGCAGCGCTGATGTCTCCAGAGATCCCATATAGACTGGCTTTGATTGAAAGAAATCCCTTAAACCAAAACCTGCCTTGAGTAAGTCTTAACAGATGCCCGCACAGCCACCTATAAACCCTAAAGAGCTTGTTTCGGAAGATCAAACTACAAATCTAGAACTCATTTTGCTCTTCAAAAAGGTTTTGTAAATAAGGTGTTAAAGAACACACACTGTTTTTCCTGAAATCTCACACATAACACACACATAACACACTCTACCTGACTCGATGTCCGTGACTGCCGGTAGCCGGGGAGGGAATAAGGAGATTGATTTCAGGGAAAAGATGCCTCATGATCTTAAATGTTCAAAAAGCAAACTAATAAAAAAGTTCCTTCTTGCTGTATTTATTCCTGACTCCTTTCTTAACTTGCACGACAATCCATGTATTCCCTGAAACCTCTGCCTCCTGTCACTCTCTCTCTCGGTCTGTTTCTCTCCGGTAATCTGATCCTTGAGAGGGACGTTTTAACCCTGCAGATCGCTGGATTCGCAATGGAACGGGAACCCAGAGAAGCGCTCAGTCACATTCACACACATCGACACACAGACAAACAGAGCGTGAGAAGGACAAAGAGACAGTGATAATGGCCAAAAAGACAAAAAAAAACGCACACATTTACACAAACACACACTCTTTCTCGCTTTCACACACACATGCACATGCAGGAACCACCCTACTGGGTCTAGGATGCTAATTAGAGATCAGCGTTTTGAGTGAGCTTGAATGAGGGCTTCTCTCTGGCTCACTACCCTGCCATTACTGTGTCCAGCAGCACACAGGCTAACCAGCAGACCTGCGTTAAACAGCACCTCCACTAAAACCTGCAGGGTGACGTCACTTACTTCAGCACGCACACACACACACACACAAATCTTGATGGTTATCAAAGAAACTGTTTAACTGAGAATCACAACAGCCGTCATTCACACACGGTATCCACCACGCATTGCACGTTTTTTGCTAAATAATTGTGTTATTATGCTTTCAGCTACCAATAAGTTGGTAGCCATATTTTTACCATATTTAAATGAATTCTACTGAAATCTACAGATTTTCATATGGGAAAAATAAATAAATATAGAAAATACAAATTCTGCATGTTCTGTCTGGGTCTAGTCAAGTTACCCAAAATGCCCTTTGCAGTTTTTAGAACAAGGGTTTTCAAAAATGTTACAGACTGATAGGATATATATATATATATATATATATATATTCTGTGCTTATGGAGCAAAGTCTCTACTAAAATATACATTCAGATACTGATTATGCGGCTTTTAACCACTTCTCAAAACCCCCCTCACACAATCTGGTATCAATGCAATAAACCTTAGTGCAGGGAAGGAGGGAGTCGGGGTTAAACCAGGCGAGAGTGTGTGTGTGTGTGTGTGGGGTGGAGTAGGTTAACTGGCAGGCTTTTAAGAAGACCGTTATGTCCCAAACAGTTTGGGGCATTCCAGACCTTTCCATGCTCAGCTCTGCGGTAGGAGAATGACAAAGCTCTCTCTGACCACAAAACGATGAGAGGTCAAACAGGCTTTTTATTCTTTCGTCTGTGGTTATTGGTTTTCCCCCTTTTTACATGCACTATTTCACCAATTTGTTTCATAAATAAAGGTCTCTTTTACCATCAGACTTTGATTTTCTTAGATTTTGATTCATTTGAGCAAATCCGTTTTAATTAAAAGGTTCATTTGAACTGATTCGCTGATTCGTTTAAATATTCACTTGAAAATGTTTCCAGAAATGTAATGCCTGCTTTGTTGAAGTTCAACAAATATTTGCTATGGTTTGAGGCGTTCCACATGACTTGTGCATTAGCAATCCATATGAGAGAGCCATGTGAGGAACAGACTGGAATTGAAGTCCTTATTTGCTGAAAATCTTCCCTCTCAAATGTCATTCATGTTCTCCTACATGAAAAAAGGCAGGTTTGTTCATGTTTGTAATCAGATTACTTTTTCAAGTAACTAGTAAAGTAACACATCACTTTTAAAATTACCACAAAATATCTGCTTTACTTTTTCAAATAAGTAACGCAATTTACTTTGTTTTCTCATTTATTGACTGACACCTCTCCTATCCCCATGTTGAAGAAAGTGCAGAGGCGTTGTGTTCGCTGTGTTAACATTGTTATTGTAGTTGTAGACTAAATGTGAGCAGGCATTTACCCATCTCATTTGCACAAAAACAGAATTAGTATTCCTCAAAATGAATAAAAACAGTGAATATGAAAACTCAGAATATTACGCAAACGCAAACCTGCAGTATTTGAATGTTAAATAACACTAATATACTTTATGTACTTAATCTCAATTTATTAACCGATGTATTTGCTGCTGACTTTCGATGATCTAATTCAAACATATAAGCAGAAATTACTTTAAATAAACATCTCATTTGTTTAATTTTTGTTTTGTTTTTATTGTTGAACTATCTTCTCCTGCTGAAGAGTAGGAATTCTTCTGCAATCCAGAATGGCAGCACAGCTGATGTGTTTCAGGTGAGAAGGTGAGGATTCACATTTCCTTCACTCGAGGCTTATTCATTTCTCTTTTGGTGAAAAACAAACAAGCAAGCTCAGCCCAGGTGAGAAAAAGTAACGCAAAGGTAATGTAAAATTACTTTCCACAAAAAGTAACGCAATTAGTTACTTTTTTAGGGAGTAGCACAATATTGTAACTTGGCTTTTAAAAATACATTTTTGACACTGAATGGCATTGACCATAATTGGTTTTCATGTCTCATCGTTCACATTACATATGGCATGACATGTCAAAGCTATAGAAAACTTGAAATATAGCCTGTGGAATTTGTTTTTGGTGCTTTTCCATTGAATTGCACTGCATGGAAAAGAGCAACAAGGACACAGACCACAGAAGAAAAAAGTTAGAAATTACAAGATGAGTGTGAGTCCATACAAGTAATGTACATGAATGTAAAATATTTAAATGTACTGACATAACTATTACTTACACATAGATATATAAACTCCCAAAAAAGTTACAGTTAAGGGAGTCAATTTTGATCAAGAAATGATTCACAGTTTTGAATGATTCGATGATTCTCTTTCTCTAGCAAAAAAAACACTTCAAGTCCAGCACCTACACAAACACATATGTATTGAATTTAGCACTCACATCCCCCCATCTCTCTTTCTCTCTCACACACACACACACACACTCTCATCTGCCCGACTCTCCTTAGCAACAGAGCTTCCCTCATGGCCTGAAGGAATCGTGTGTATTTCTGTATGTGAGATGCTAGTGTTTCTCTGTATCTGGTCATGAGGTCTGCCTGCTTTGAATGCTTAAGCATGATCATCATGTTGATCCAGTTACCTGTGGTGTGTGTGTGTAATCACACTTAAAAAGGGCAGACTAATGCATATAAACAGCGACACACACACATGAAATACTACTGCGATGAAGATCCCCATAAGTGGAGTTTATGTTACACCATATCAGTTAACACTGAGAAGAACAGATACATCTGTTACATGTATCTCATACAATCTCTCTATCAGCATATAAGTAGAAGGAATGATGACGTGTTCTCTGTATATTACTACCAGCTCTATTTCTTTTTACTATTTCTAAAAATAACGGATTACATGCAAATAAACCAGTTTGAGTATTACATAAAAGTCACTCATCACTTTCACTTCGCTACTCTGCTTTCTAAACGCAGCAAAACCTAAACTTAAATTTCCAGATTCCTTGTTTCCCAGGGCATGTGTCCATTCTGAACACCAACGTTTTTTCTCAGGCACTAGAAATCTTGACAGATGCGGGCAAGGAGGAAATTTGGGTAAGGAAGAATGTCTCTTTTTCAGGGCCAGATCAGAAAATGTTTCTTGCAAGTAGAAGCTTATCATTATTAGAATGTCTTTTAATAAATACTCTACCGTTCAAAAGTATGGAGTCAGTAGGATTTTTAAAAGAAGTCTCTAAGGCCTTGTGTCCACTAAAGCGTTTTTAGCCACTGTGATTGGACGGCAGGGTAAAAAGTGACAGTGATGAGCGCTGTAATTTACACAAAGTTGAACATTTTTCAACTATTGGCATCTGAGAAGAAAAAAAAAACTCATCACCATGTGTATATCAGAGGCCCCAGTCACGACACCCACATCAACACACACACACAGATGAGAGAGATTGGAGGCCCTAAATACCTAGGTGTCTTCCGGCTGCACAGGTGTGCTGTGGACAGATCAGACTGATGGTTGGAGGGAAGAAACAAAGGGAAGAAGGATCGTACAACATCACACAAGACGATCACATTCAGAGATCCACTGCACCTGCCCAGGAAAATGTAAGCCACCTCTGTCTCTCTCTTTCCTACACTTCAATCTTCTCACAGTCTGAGAAGCGTACAGTTCGGCTGCTCTCTGTCGTTTGAATGCCTGTCCAGAGGTCAGAACGGGGTCATCTGAAGTGCTCTGACCTTAAAAACACTCAAAATAATTTGTAAAATAAATAATATAATCTCATTGTGAGGAGAATCATGTGGTGTGAGTGTCTCCTCCAAGAATACAACAAACAAGCAAGAAATGACTTGTTTGATTGACTAATAGCAATATTTATTATTTCCATATAGGGCCATATATTGGAAAAGGGGATTTTTACTCACACCAGGGATACCAGGGATATTTAGTATTCTTTATATATTATTAACCCTCTGGGGTTGTTCGTTTAACAGTCACACTTGGGGTGTTCGGGTCCAAATGGACCCAAAGGGCAGGATTCATTTTTTTTTTTTTTTAAATCATAATTTGTTTTCTTGTTTTTTATAATATTTTTTCTTTTCTTTTTTGGTGTTTTGAGATAATTTCAAAAATAAAAATGATTTATAATTAATATTAATGCAATAATTATGACCCATTTTTCCCCATTGAATATAATAGATTTTTTTTTTTTTTTTAAAGCTGTATTTCATTTTAGAGTCAAGCCTAGGCCTCATGAAAGCAATTTTTGAAATGAGATGGATGCCATCTGGTGGACAAACTGAGCATTTTAAAAATTCAAAACCCATATGTAATCTGAATTTATTAGTGTATGTGTATAAAAGTGTGTTTGTGTGTGTGTGTGTGTGTGTGGATGTGTCTGTTTTGCACTCTTGATGTTTTATAGATTCACCCCTTCACTGTTGTGTGCTTTTTTTCTGGATCGTGGCTGATTTGTAGATTGTACGCACAAAAAAACTCTGTATTTTCACATTTTTGCCAATTTCCCGTCCATTTCCTATTCGGGTCCATTTGGACCCGAAGGTCCTGAGTGTGACTATTTTTTTTACAACCACTTAGACTATTCAAATCCTGTCCCCAATTTTTTTTTGGGTGTTCATATACCAAGTACCAACAAAGTCCCCAAATTTCGGACCATTCCGATAAAGCTATGATTTAAAAAAAATAAAATATTTAAATGCTTCGGGTCCATTTGGGCCGAACAACCCCAGAGGGTTAAAGCATTTTAGCCTGGTTAAAAGCAGACCATTCTAAGTTATGGTCTGGCAAAAAGTCATAGACAAATCATTTCCAGAGGGGCGTCACCAACGGATGTCGCGGATAGACCTAAACCAATCACAGCGATGAAGGAGATGACGTATGCCGAGCGGCGGAGAAACATCTCCGAGTGTTGTTCTTTGCTCGGTTTTTAACAAAAAGGAAACGTTCAAATCGCTTAAAACAGACGCGATAGCTGATTCGAACGAGTGATGTTCGACGGCGGCATCCATTTTTGTAATGTAGGCTACAAAATCTGCTTCAAAATCCCAGCGCTGTCGTCATCGTGTAAAGCCCGCCCCAACGTTTCTGATTGGTGCCTCGATTTCGACGGATTGGAAATGGGCTTGAATGAGCTCTTTGCCAGACTAACTTTCAGAGCAAATCTAAATTTGCCGGAAGTTGTCTGGGTTTTCCCAGGCTAAAAGCATATATTAATTCTTCAAATTAGCTTTTGATATTTTCACATGTGTAGATTTGGTGTAGAAAGAAAAAACTAAATTACGATCTCTTGATCAAGTGACAAAAAAACAAACAATAAAATGCTGCAAAAGTGTAATACATGTCTGATTTAAATACTCTGAATACTACTTCCCTATATCATAAAACAAAGACCTTCTGATATTGCATTCATAGAGAAGCTCCCAAGACCTAATCTGCACTGAGGGAAGAGACTAAACGGACTAATGTGGTGTGTGGTAAAAGGGTGGTGGAAATAAGGAAGGATGATTGGGTCGCAGAACAAAAAGGAGAAGATAACAAATAGATCTGGCTGGAAGAGAGAAACAAAGAGAGAGAGGGAGAGATGGATGAGTTTCAGGGCAGCAGAGACAGTGGTAGATGTTTAGAGCCTGGAGGTTAACCACAACATCCTCAGCGCAGTGGAGGGGACTTGTTCTCAGAAAAGAGGGAGGGGAAGCGTCCAAAATAGAGGGAGGCTATTTATGGTGCAAGAAACACCCATATTATATCATTTCATTTCATCATCGTGCTGTACATTTCCTCTTATGTGTGGGGTCTGAGGGGGACGGAGAGAAAATGAGGGGCCGGGACTATAAAGAGACGGGAAAGATAGTGAGGAATTCCCCCATGTGCTCGTCCTGTGGTCAAGTCCTAACAAGACACACTGTAGTCTGGGTGAAGGGTGCATATATTTGTATATGGGGTAACCCTAAAGGAAAACGCTGCCCAGTATCCTCCCAAATATTGAATAATAAACACAATAATTTAGTGTGAAATGGTCAAATGCAATTATATGTAACACAATAGGTTGATGTCTCTGAACAGTGATGATCGTATTCAAAAGCAGCATGAGTATTTATCATGTATTTATCATTGTGCGGAGAAGGGAATTCCAATCAGTTCACATTTGTGTTTCATCAATAAAACTGAGACAAGACGTCATACATGCAAATAAGGATTACTAAATTATGCCATGATGTATACTGTATATATATTAAAACAAGTACTACAAAAATGTATTGCAAACAACAAAGAACATCAGAAAAAAACTATAGAAAAAACCCTGCCAGAAAAGTAAAAAAAAAAATATATATATATATATATATATTAATAGTATAGGAGCATTATTTTAATAGGATCTATTTTTTGTTATTTTTTATTAATTTTCATTAATTTTCAGACATAAAAAGGCTTGATATGTTATGTGTGGTTGCCAGGGTATGTAGTTAAGGTATTTTGAAAAACTCAACTTGAACAATAATAATTTTCATTTACTCATTGCAGTAATCATTTTAATTTGCTAATGTGCGTTCAACAAAACTCTGTACATGCCATAACAGCTGCATCTAAATGAGCATGTCATTTGGGCAGCAGCTAAATGCTGGTGACCACAAACTGAATTGCCTCTGGATGTGCAATAATAGTAGAAAGAAAAGACTTATCCAACAAAACACACACAGAAAGCATTAGACCTCCATTTCTAGGAAGTGCACATGATATGATTTTAAAAGGGGGAGCAATAAAAAAGCACAATCTTCCAATATTTTCAACAATCTAAAACTTACTTTCCCATCTAGCTGAAGAACTAAATGTGGTGACGTAATACCAGAATGAATGGCATCTCATCTGGTTCACGCACTCATCTGTCTTTCAGCCAGCTAATGACTCAAATACATATATAAATACACATGCTAATTAAATATCGTAGTTTAAAAGGGGGCAGTTGTACCCACTCTGCAGGGTTACACCCACAGACTACAACATAGATCGGCAGCAGAGAGGGTTGTGGTGACAAGCCATCATTTCAGTTGTTATCTTTCTTTTGAAAGCTAGTGGTGTGTGCAAGCTCAACTCAATAGAAGACCTATTTTCTTTTCTTTTCTGTAATGGAGCGTGCCATCAGCCGTCAACAACCAGAGCCACCTCCAGTACAGGATTTACCCCAGTGAACTTAATATAGACCTCGAGCAGCCAATAAAACCAATGCAGCTGTGATAGGACTGCATTCAGACAAAGCAGTTAAACATGATTTGCTACAGAAGCTGATATTATGATTATGCATTTTTTAAATACTCTACTCTGATGATGTTTACTAGTGCGAGGGCAGGACGACCTGTTCCTCATGACAACACAGCAATAGCAAACCACAACCATCCAATCAATTCCCCATAGACAAAATCAAGACCCGCCTTACAGTCTCTCTTATTCGAGAAGCCGTTTCACTCAGATATATGTCACAACAGGAGAGAAAAGACTCTGAACTTCCATTTCATGCAGACTTTAAAGGTACTCTATGCAACTTTTGGCCCTCTGGCGGTAAAAAAAAAAGTGTGACTATGTGGATTAATATGTTTATCCACTGCTCATAAAACATTCACTACTAGGCTTAAGAGATATAACCAGTTTAGATGGAAAGGACCTCAAACTGACTAGCTTTACCCATTAATAGACACGGTACTTCCTTGAAAATCAATTCCAGCACAGCGCTACAACCAAAATGGCCCTTCACAATAGACAATGCTTTACAATGAACTATGTTAGAGAGCAACATATGGACATTTATCAGTTCAATATTTTGGTATTTTACCTTACCTGCTGAGTAATAAAAACCTCCATTTTCAGAAATATTACAAGTCCCTCAGTTTCTTTGCATCTCCGAAAAGCCAGGCTAATGTTGATTCTTGTTTTATTACAAACCCTGTCTTGCTCTTTTTGCCAGGAGACTCTCCTCTGATCTGCATGTTTTTTTAAACGCGTGATTCCCGGAGGTTGGAGATTTAGCAGCTCCATTTCAAACTTTCTCGCTCGTTGTGACAACTAACCTCTGCCACTCCTACACCAGACACGCAAAGGCGAGTGACGTATGTACACAATTTCTTGTGGAAACCATCCCGCTAGATCTAAAATATACTTAAAATATAACACTAGGCTTATCATAGTGAATCAATCAGTGTAAGACAAAAGGAATTGGAAGAAGGATTGATGATGTATTGACAAAGTTACATAGTGTACCTTCAGGGAAAGACAAGGGCATTTAAATGTAGAAGTGAATCCACATTTTGTGTATGTAAAGAATACAAGAGAAAGAAGAATGAGGTACCTGTCGGCGTCTCCCTGGCCGGTGGAGGCATTACGCTGCAGACTTTCCCGTACCATTGCCATTCCATCCGGCATCCGGTTCAATCGCCGCGTATACAGACTCAATCCCCCATCCGTCATGTACCTGAGAAAACACACAGAGACAGATATTACATGAAGTATTTAAAAGATTAGGAAATAAAGAACATTCAAAAGCAATAAAACTGCTCACTGACACGCGTCACAGGTTTGGAGGTCACACACCTTGAAATAAATTAACCACTCAATACATAATATAATATAACAATCGATAATGATGATTTAGATAATGCAGAGTTCCACTCTGACATATTAAATTTTTTTTTTTTTTTTATTAGTTCCAGATAATAGAGTGGAGGGTAAAAGTACAAAGAGTTCCTGTAGGCTGCAATGAAGTCAATTTGAAATACAAATGGTGACCACACAAAATCACTGCAGTATTTAGGGCCACTAAATATTTGCTAATAATGCTGGTCATCAGACTTTACAGATAAATAAACATATCAATGCAGAGAATGATATTCTATGTAATCAGTCTAAGTCAAACATATCTTAGTTTTCAGACAGTCTAGCTTTTTATGGTAAATAGGATGTTTGACTAGTTAAACTAGTAATGAACTAGAACTAGAACCTTAATCAACTAAACTAAACAGTGTTTCATCTAATACAGCCCTAATGACTCATGACATACAACCCTCAACTGGTTTAAATCAGGCAACAGGAAGTGTGTGTGTGTGTGTGTGTGTGTGTGTGTGTGTGTGTGTGTGTGAGAGAGAGAGAGAGAGAGAGAGAGAGAGAGAGAGAGAGAGAGAGAGAGAGAGAGAGAGAGAGAGAGAGAGAGAGAGAGAGAGAGAGAGAGAGAGAGAGAGAGAGAGAGAGAGAGAGAGAGAGAGAGAGAGAGACATGAGGTTATTAGGTCCAATGATTCACACTCACTCCGAAAAAAGGCAAAAAAATCCTACCTTCATCAACCTTGAACTAACTGTTACCATCTAATAATACCAGATGTGTGCATTTAAAACTCAACAGTTCCACTTAAGCAACATCACTCATTTCTTTATCCATTCATTCACATACGTCTATGAGGTTTAGGTGGGAGAAAGGACCACTTGGTGAAAAACAAACCCTCACATAACTAAAACACAATCGGATACTCTTCCAAATATTTGCCCTGTCAACAGATTCCTGGCTGCTCGCCGTCACTAACTCTCCTATGGTTCCCACTGGTCACTGGAATAAAACACCTTCTTCATGCTCAAGCAGACTCACTCAAGGTAAGACAGTTGTGCGTCTGTTAGTGTGTGGTTGTGTTCGGTACAGTGGCTCTTTGTGTAAAATACTGTCACATCATATTGAGAATATGCTGCTGAAATAGATGGAGCTGGTGGGTTTATACGGCCAACAGTTCATCAACATCTCGAATCAAATCACCTCCTCATATTTCCGATTCTCAATTTCCCTCTACATTTCTGAGCGCATGGGTGAACTATAGGTTATATTTCACCATAAAATCTTAATTCTCATGAAAACAATGCTTAATATATATATATATTTCCCTTACTTTTTATAACGTGACCTTTTTTCAGACAGTTTTCATAACACTTGCTATCATATTTACAATCCAACTTCAAGCATCAATAGAGAACAGCATCATACTTTTCTGTACTTATTTGTAAGAAAAAATCCATTTTGATGCTACAAGTAAAATCTAGATTACACTAAACAGAAACAGTCTAAAAACTATCAATAAATGTTAATAAAATGTCTTTAATTTTGACAGTCTCTAAAGGCATTAACGGTTACATTACGCATACAGACTGACAACAATGACTGACATACCTTTCAGTCTTAAACATCCATCAGATGAGATGAGATCTCCTCTCAATCCACGCTTTCTGGACTCTCTGATGCGTTTGTTTGCAATAGTGTGTGAGGTTATGAATAGGTTTTGCATGTGTATTCTCTAGTGCTGGACTATATTCTATGTCTCTACTCTTGTGTGTGTGTGAATGGCTGAAATTTGTGCCGGTGTGCTGGACTGTTTGGTGAAGAGGGAGGAGGCTAAATCAACCACCCCCTTCCCCAAAACACACACACGCCCTCACATAAACACAACCCCCACCCCATGAGCAGACCGGGCCAAGACAGCCTGAAGGGGTTTTGGGAGAGGGGCAACACATGAGGAGAAAGAGAGGGAGAGTGAACAGGAAAGAGAGTTCAGAGAGGAAAAGTAAGACTAAATTGGTGCCATAGATTAATGTTTGAGTCTGACATTTGAAGAGCAAAATGGATATTTCAAGGAGGAATGGCTATATACAATATACACTTATTTCTATTTCTATTTATTTATGAGGAGATAAATGAAAAGTAAAGACACACACACACACACACCAATCCTGGAACATTGAGATAATTGAGAAAATTAAGCATATTGCTCATATATTAAAAAAAGAGATGTATTCAGAAAATACAAATGCAAAAACACCAGCAAACATTAAATATCCTACAATAATGTACTTTCCCCCCCAAAAAACAATAACAAAAACCCATTACATAAGACAATCAATCTCGTGACAATCTTCAAAATGGTTTCCATGTAATTTGAGGTCACGAATAAAAACCAATTTATGTGTGAAACAACACAAACGCACAGCCTAAACAAACTAAAGCTCTAAATCCCCGTGCAAGACTGTCCTATATGGTCAAACTTTAACCAGTGTTCACCTCCACAGATGACACAATTCCCAGCATTTCCATCTCATTCCACATGATTCTTTTTTTGTGGAAATGTCAGTAGCCTCAGAGACACTGTAACCACAATGTCAGTAATAAAAGCCTCTTTTAAGTAAAGAACATATTCATTTCAGCACGATACACATGATGTAATGTGACAAACCTGTCGCTCCATTATCAAAGTGCTGTCATGAATAGAGGAAGGAGATCATATTAGCTCAACCTATATGTGTTCATACATCCAGCAGCCTGGGGTGAATATCTACAGTAAAGCTTTTAACCCGTCAGTCCAGATTGGACTGTGAAAACAACCACTTTGAGACTTGGGAAATCAGATCCAACAGCAGTATTATAGAGCCTCCTTTCCAAGAGGGATCTGGTTCAAACATGTAAGTGAACTTTGAGATTATAAAGCCTCCCAATACCAATTTCACTTGCCTCAATGCTCATGACATCATCTATTGTGCAGGGTATCCTCTAGTTTAAGTCTGTATTGGCCTTTCAGTTAAGTGTCAATGTTAAGGGCTTCACGTTCAAAATGTCAAAATTACAACAGCGCCCCTATGACATGCAGTAAAAGTGAGCAAAATGTGACAGGATTTTGTCGGACGTTTCAATTGTACATTAATTATCATCTTAGTGATATTTTGCAGCCAGAAGTCAGGCTCACGGCCAGGTGTAATTGCAGCCTGTCTCCTGGCCCGTTCTCTATAATCCGGTTATGTTACAGGCACTAGAACGGTTTGTAGTGCTTAAACCCCACAGGAAGACTGTGATTGTGAGGAAATAATAACACAAGAGGTTTAAATTGCACATTATCACAGTCGAGGTATGCAGAGAGCTTGTTTCAGCACGAAGGGGGAGTTAAATCCGAGTCTGTACACTCAGTTCAGGGGATGCAAACACACCAAAATCTTTTATTCCTGCCCAAAGGGCCAGAGCAAGGTGAGAGGATTTAATGCATTTAATGTGCTCACCTGCGTCATTAGATGTCATAAGTGTATCTAACAAACACCTGAATTGAAACCTACCTGTGAGAATTGAACCAGTGAATCAGGGCAACACTGATTTAAAACGAAAACACACACAATCCCAAACCCTTCACTAGCGTCTATCCTGAGATCTGATGCAAAGCCAGTAGAGAGGGACAAATAAACCCATTTCAGCTTTTTAAACCCAAAAAAGGTCAAAACACGTCTACTATTATATAATGTAATATTAGCAAAAAACACTAGTTTGGGGTCTGTAAGTTGTTGTTGTTGTTTTTTATTTAAAGAAGTTAGTTTTAATCAGGAAGGATGCATTAAATTGATCAATGGTAAAGACATTTATAATGTTACACAAATGTTTTTTTAAATCCGGAAAAAAAGTGCATCCCAATTTCCCCAAAAATATTAAGCTGCATAACTGTTTTCAATAAGAAATCAACATATTAGAATGATTTCTGAACGATCATGTGACAATTATGACAGGAGTGCTGATGCTGAAAATTCAACTTTGCCATCACAGCAATAAATTACATTTTAAAATATATTAAAACAGAAAGCAGTCATTTTAAATTGTAACAATATTTCACAATTGTTTACTGTATTTATGATCAAATAAATGCGGCCTTGGTGATAATGAGAGATTTTCAAAAACATTTTTAAAACATCTTACAGACCCCAAACTTTTGAACGGTAAATCTTTTACTGATTTAGCACATATCCTAAACCAATGCCCAAATCTAAAAATCGGCTCTTAGTTAACACTATCCATTAGATTTAATAAGGTAATCATAAAACTTGCCCTTACAAAGGTAAAAAAAAAATGCCTCTGGAAATTAATTCCAGGAGGCGAATATTGCCGCTTAATGGAAAAGTTAATTTCTGACTGTGATAGTCACACATTGACTTATAATCTCAATAAGAAAATCCATTAGCCCTGAGAAAAAAACACATAAATTCATATTTAGAGACCTATCTCACCCTCTAGTGGCTACACTGCAATAAAACAACACCCATATGGATAAGTTCACACAAGTCTTCACAGAAAGCATGATTCATTTGATTATCTTTATGCCACATGGTAATGTGCAAATTTATGAACTGTAATGACAATCTCATTACAGTAAACAGAAAAGAGATATATTTACGTCAACCCACTCCCGCTAAGGCACTTAACATCATTTCTCAACAAGGGCTAGTAATACAACTGGCTGAATATCTTCTAGGACCAACAATGAATTATCACTTGTGTAAATGTTGTCATGCACCCTTAAAACTGCCTTTTAATTTTCCTTTTATCTTCACTAAACTACATGAAGACAACACCTTTACTTAACAGCCATTGAAAAACCACTCTAACAAATGACGACCATGTTTCACACTCACCCGCTGGTCAGCTCATCAGTGCGGGCGTTCTTCGCCAGCACGTCTCCATCACTCATATATCCACTCATCTCCAGCCCCACTCCTGCCAGCTCCAGATCCTCCACCCTGTCCCCCAGCTCCAGACCACAGAGGGCACTGCCACGCGCTGCCAGCTGCTTCCGGAGAGGACCCGGGTACAGATACCGGCCTTGGCCAGACGCCACCCCTCCGCTCCGGGACTGATACCCGTTACCGACCGAGGGAGCATCTCCTGCTTGTAGACGGGGACTGGACTGGCCCATGCGACTGGCCCAGGACAGCGGCGCAGGTCGGGATGCCATGCTGAGGATGCTGCGACCGCTCATTTCAGTGGTCACGCTACCATCAAAAGTGGTCTCCAGTGTACTGAGAGAGAGAGAGAAAAGCATTTCAGATTTACTTTCAGTCTATATGAAATCAAAATGAACTTGCTCCTTGTTTTAACAACTTCCCTTTTCCTTTGCGTCTCTGTGTCCTCATGGTAACACTTTAGTTTAGGGTCCAATACTCACTACTAACTAGTTGCTTATTAGCATGCATATTACTAGGAGTATTACTGTATTACTGGACTACCAGTTTATTAGTTCTTATAAAGCACATATTAATGCCTTATTCTGCATGACCATATTATTCTACAGCCCTTATACAACTCAATACATACACTTAACAACTATCTTACAAACTCGTAATAAGCAGTAATTAGAAGTTTATTAAGGCAAAAGTCAAAGTTAATAATTAGTTTTATATATATATATATATATATATATATATATATGTACACACACACATATCATATTTATACGTAAATGGAAAAACATGATTTATATATAACTTCTAAAATAAAATGTACCATGGTATGTAAGTGTCTGCAAAAATACCATGGTTATTATTTTTATTTTATTTTTTTACATTGGTAGCTCATACCAAGTTTTACCAACAGCTGTAGGCTGTTGTAGTATAGTTTAGTCTTCGAAACTACAGTTACTATGGTATTTTTCTCCAAACAAGATTCAATTACAACATTTACTTTTAATATGAGAAAAGCTTTTATAAATGCTACTGAGGAATTGTAACAAATATTCTGACACTTCAGGAAACAAGAATGCCCTGCTGTTCTCATTTTGCCCAAAATGGACTTTTTAAGCAGTTCACAATTACTGCATTATGCCATCATAGCAATGCAGTCTGGGTCAATAAGAAGAAGAATCAAAAAAAGGAACAAAAAAGGTTTTAAGAATAGACCGAGATGGAAAAAAACATCAAGGAGTCAGTGGACACCCTTTATTGATTTAGAAAAAAAGAGTCACTTACAGTAAAAAGAGTCAAGCTGAGGAAGGAATGGGTATGTGCTACTGTTTTAAAAGAGAAAATAGTGAGAGAAAAAAAAGTGTCCTTTTATGGCAGCCTGTGTTTTTGCCAGTTTGATTGCGATGGAGGATAGAAGAATAATGTGCTTTCCTTCATTGTTCACCAAATAACTGTCTTCTTCTCCATCTTAGCCACTGGATGTGCTTCTTGAGATGGCTATATGGTTCTTTGGAGATTAAAACTATTCTGAATGTTTCATTGCAGGTTCTTCATATAGGAAGAATTCTGGGTTCTTTAACACCAGTTTACAGATGCATTCTTTGTGAAAGTTCTCCTACTGCATCAGGCTGTGATAAGAAATAAATACTGTAGATGCGTCTACCTGTGTGTGATTTGCGTCCCCCGCAAACTTGACATGGTCTCTTCTAAATTTTGTCTCAGGTCAGCAATGTTTTTGACTGTCCTCAGGCGTCTGGACTCTGGATCTTCACCTGAAAATAGGATATTCATTTTCACAATTTATATCATATATCAGTATTTAAGTACTACTGTTTAAAATGTTGGGGTCAGTAAGATTTTGTTTTTCAATAAATTTTTACTTTTATTCTGCAAGGACAGATTGAATTGACTAAACGTTACAGTAAAGAAATGTATTAATGTTATACAACTTTTCTATTTTAAATAAATGCTGTTCAACTTTCTATTCATCAAAGAATCCTGAAAAAATCTAGCATATTAGAAAATTCAGCTTTGATCACAGGAATAAATTACATTTTAATATATACATATATATATAAATTAATTATTATTATTATTAAAATATGCAGATTTATATTATTACCAACAGAAAACGGTCTTCTGATAACCTCTCTGATATAAATTGAACAGGTTACCTGACAGGTCCTCAGTTGAAGACTGGCTGATCTTACTGAAGCTACAGGAGTCACTACTGAGGCATCCAGAGCTTGGGTTTGAGCCAATGTTTCCATCTATCTCATTCTGAGACCTAAAAACACAGGGGTTAAAAATAAAAAAAGTTATCATTCGTGTAGATAAGCATGCACACATTTTCTGTGACATCGTTGTCAGCAGAAGTCATGGCATGACTAAAGGAATCCTTTATGGAAAACAAACACAGGCCATAGAGTTTATTTCAGAGGAAATACCAGTCAAACGCGTCACAGCTGAGCCTGACGGGGAGTCACATGCATGCACACTTACTAGAGCCATATGCATTTAGGTCTCATAAACTATATGAACAATATTGTGCTCCTGTTTTGGAATGAATCCATTTTATGTATCTATCCATCTAATATGTATTACATGCATAACAATAGGATTCTGCACTAGATGTAAAAAAAAAAATCACACTTTCTAAGGTAACACTTCAAATTTTCTTTCTGTCTTTCTTTCTTTCTTTTTATAAGTTGGACTGCATGTGTAGGAAATGGAATATATGCCTTTTTTTGGAGTTTACATTTTAGTTCACAGTAAAATACAAATCAAATCTGATTTTTACAAACCCAATTCAAAGCACATTCATATTTGTTCCACATTTCTACATGGTCTGAAATACGAATTTGAACTAAAATCAGATTTTTATTTCAAATTAATATAAAAAATGTGATTCATTGTTATTTTAGTATAATTAATGTACAAGTATTCTCTTTATTAAAGTTTAAGTTTTAATAATTGTGCTTTTGTCATTTTTATTCATTTTTTTTAAATACTACTGTTTAGATTTAATCTATATACACTCACCGGCCACTTTATTAGGTACACCTGTCCAACTGCTCGTTAACACTTAATTTCTAAGCAGCCAATCATATGGCGGCAACTCAGTGCATTTAGGCATGTAGACATGGTCAAGACAATCTCCTGCAGTTCAAACCGAGCATCAGTATGGGGAAGAAAGTTGATTTGAGTGACTTTGAACGTGGCATGATTGTTGGTGCCAGAAGGGCTGGTCTGAGTATTTCAGAAACTGCTAATCTACTGGGATTTTCACGCACAACCATCTCTAGGGTTTACAGAGAATGGTCCGAAAAAGAAAAAACATCCAGTGAGCGGCAGTTCTGTGGGCGGAAATGCCTTGTTGATGCCAGAGGTCAGAGGAGAATGGCCAGACTGGTTCCAGCTGATAGAAGGGCAACAGTGACTGAAATAACCACTCGTTACAACCGAGGTATGCAGCAAAGCATTTGTGAAGCCACAACACGCACAACCTTGAGGCGGATGGGCTACAACAGCAGAAGACTCCACCGGGTACAACTCATCTCCACTACAAATAGGAAAAAGAGGCTACAATTTGCAAGAGCTCACCAAAATTGAACAGTTGAAGACTGGAAAAATGTTGCCTGGTCTGATGAGTCTCGATTTCTGTTGAGACATTCAGATGTTAGAGTCAGAATTTGGCGTAAACAGAATGAGAACATGGAACCATCATGCCTTGTTACCACTGTGCAGGCTGGTGGTGGTGGTGTAATGGTGTGGGGGATGTTTTCCTGGCACACTTTAGGCCCCTTAGTGCCAATTGGGCATCGTTTAAATGCCACGGCCTACCTGAGCATTGTTTCTGACCATGTCCATCCCTTTATGGCCACCATGTACCCATCCTCTGATGGCTACTTCCACCATGTCACAAAGCTCTAATCATTTCAAATTGGTTTCTTGAACATGACAATGAGTTCACTGTACTAAAATGGCCTCCACAGTCACCAGATCTCAACCCAATAGAGCATCTTTGGGATGTGGTGGAACGGGAGATTCGCATCATGGATGTGCAGCTGACAAATCTGCGGCAACTGTGTGATGCCATCATGTCAATATGGACCAAACTCCCTGAGGAATGCTTCCAGCACCTTGTTGAATCTATGCCACGAAGAATTGAGGCAGTTCTGAAGGCAAAAGGGGGTCCAACCCGTTACTAGCATGGGGTACCTAATAAAGTGGCCGGTGAGTGTATATTACAGTTTTAGTCAATTTAGTACTTTATCTTTAAAATAAAAAAATATTTATTTTGAGTTAGTTACCAAGGCATCCTATTTAATTTTAGTTTATCAGTATTTATATTTTATTTCATTTCATTTCAGCTATATTTCAATTAACGAAAACAATTTTAATAGTTTAAGGGTACGTTTACATGACAAGGATGTACTAAAAACGTAAATGTTTTTCCGGTTTTCACGTACAGACAACAATGTTGTCAAAATGATTCACGTTCACATGGATCCTAGAAAACAACTATATTAAAAACGCAGTATTATACATGCCAGGTCAGTAGATTGTGATGTCACTTTGTAAAGAAACATTACACGCCTATAAACTAGACACGTAATAACGCATGACATCACTGTTTTCACAAATTTGCGTTTTTGTAGTTTAGATGGAGATGATAACGGTCTCGTTTTCAAAAACTTGCACTCTGAAACCCGTTTTCAAAAGTTTGCGTTTTCAGACCCACAAACCGGCCAAAATGCATAAAAAGTTTTCCATTTTTAGTTGATTTAATTTGATTTCATCTTTTGGCCCCTTAGTTAACAGTAACAACACTGGTTGCAAACTTGCCCAAGTTAAAAGACCCCCTATGATCTCTAGTTATGATCTCTTTTCAGCTGAAAAGCCCAACGACAGTCTCACCTGTACATGAAGGGTGCTACGGTGGCTGTGTTGGGGTGGTTGTACTGCTGCTGGGGTTGAGGCAGCTGCACACTGACCGTGTTGCAGGCCGTGGATTGTGTCCCGTTGGCCAATGGGGCACCACTGTGCGTTTGGTGTCCTTTGCCCTCGGTGGAAGCCAGGCTGGAAGAAGACGAGGAATGCCGACTGTCCCTATGAAGTCCCAGACCCCCTCCCAGACGCATACTGCGTGGCCTCTCATTATCTTTACCACCGAGAGGCAGCGCTGAGCTTTTTACCGCTCCATTTCCTGTGCTTTTACTTCCTGGTTTTGGAATTCCGCTATGTGCAGGGGCGGAGCTATCTTTCTTGGTAACGCCCACCTTGCCGCCTTTGGGTATAAAGATGCCGATCTTGGAGGCTTTCCTTGGCTCTGCCTCTGAGAGAGCAACTCCGCTTGAGGGAACAACTTCCTCCTTAACCTCTTCTTTGGTCTCTACCTTTTCCGAGGCAGGGACACGCTTGGACTCCTTCCCGTTTTTTTCCTTGTCCTTAGCTTTTTCCTTCTCTTTCTCTACAGTTTTAGTTGAGGCTTTTTTTGCCGTGAGCGCCCGGCTAAATGTCCGCTGCGCAATGCCCTTCAGAGCAATCTTTGGGCTGCTGGTCGTCATGTTAAAAGAACTTGATCCGTTCGTGGGTCTGACATTACCATCCGTTTCCACAAAGGGTTCTGTATTGGAACCAGCCTCGACTCTTTCCGAACCCAAGCCGGCATCTTTTCCCGCTGTCGGCGTAACAGCGCCCTCTGTTTGCGCGGATGATTTGGAGCCTCCTTTGCTATTGAAAAGTTTGAGTTTCTCCAGCATGGACTTCTGAGGCACAGCTTTCGGTGGTGGATCTGCAGGCACGGGCTGCTTGGCTTGGAGATCTGGCTTGATGGAAAGCACCGTTGAGGAAGCGGAGGAGGTAGCAGTGTGCTTGGTGCTCTGAGATTTGATTCTCCAGGGTTTGCTACTCGAGTTGGGATGGGGGATGGCTGATGACGAAGATGAAGATGCCACAGTGCTGGTGCTAACAGAGGTGCAGGCGGACACCAGAGCGTGCTCAGTCACGCCTTGTGAGGTGATACTCTCTGATGATTCTGTGAGGGTGAAACACACAAAAACAGTCAATAATGAACACTGAGACAGTTGGACTGCATTTGTTGGAAAAGGAGTTCAATTCAAAAACACATTCATATGTGTACCACATTTGGACGAAATCCAAATCCAAATTAATATCTAATTTAGAATCCACTTAAAATCTGAACTGTTTCAGTTTGAATGATCCAGTGTTATTTAAAGTCCCCCTGTAGTCAATCATTTTATCCCTTAAAACTCATCTTTGATCACCATAATGACTTAGTTAAACGTTTTTTTTTTTTTCCTTCATGCCTTAAAATAGCTTGAATATAACTCTACACCCTTGCTCATTTAGTATACGCAGTTCTATGAATATGCAAATGAGCCCCGCCTCCACTCACTCACGCCAGCTCAGAGATCCACTCGTTGATGATCACACTCTGACGTGATTGGTTACAAGGTAGTTTGTGACGTCAGAAACACCAGCGATTTCAAACCGCGTTTTTGAGACTGTCTTTGGTTCACTGCAGTTTTAAAGGAGCTGTATGTAAGAAATGTATATCAATTAATCATAAAATGGCCCTGATGTGTCACTAGACATTAAGAAATCATGCTCATTTCAAATACTTATATCACTGACAACAGTAGTGCGGCCAGGATATTGTCATTTAAAAAGTGAAGTTGCAGCCCTCAACTGATATTGATGTTGTCATGTTGTGTTTTGGTCTGATGCTCCACCCTCCACCTATCTACCAATCAGGAAGTCAGTAGTGTTGCGGGATCCGGGTTGCCAGCTCTGCTCTAGTTACCACTTCTTGGAGCAGACTACGTTCCTGCTGGATCCTGCAGCCTATCTGGCAACCTCGAGTCAGGGAGGGGATACACTGCTCTACGGTAATTCGAAAGTGATTGCAGTACCAGTTTTGGCCACAATCTTACATATAGCTCCTTTAAGGACAACATACTCAGCAATGGTATTGACTTATGAATTTGAACATGGTTTGTCTTAGCGCATATTAAAAACACCACAAAGACATATAAACAAAATTAAAAGCTTGATTTTCACCACAGGGAGACTTTAAGATTATTTATGTACTACTATAGCATTTATTAATATTTTGAATTGACTGTTTTATACCTTTAAACTTTTAGTTTGTTTTAGTAATTCTGTTATGTGCTTTTTCATTTTTAGTTTTAGTTTTAATATTTTTGCGTAGCTTTAATTAATTTTGTTTCATTATATTTTTAGTAGTCTTAGTTCATCAACTTCTTTATTGAAAAGTTTTTAAAGTTTAAGTATCTCATCTAATATTTCAGCTTCTTTCAATTACCCAACTTTTTAGTTATAGTTAACAATAACAACACTGGAATAGTCAGATCAGGTTTCACATCTTTTTCCTCCAACTAGGAACAGCAATCTGATGGATACAAACCCGATCCAATTTGTGCTTTGAAATCCAATTAAAATCTCATTTTTGCAAACGAGCCAAACAGAATGCTCAGATTTCAAGCGATTTTTCATCAAAAGACACATAACATCAAATAATGCATGAGCAAGTCTCTTGAAACTGGACTGACATCATTACTATAGAAACAGATACCACAATAACAAAAAGTGATACTAAAGATCAGATCTGAAAACTAAATTGGACTTTAGTCCAGTGCAGTGATGTGGAAGAAGAACCTATAAGGGAAATAAAGCGATAATTAAAGTAGATTAAATCAAATGCTCAGAAAAACAGAAGAAAAAGCTTGAAAGTTTAACCAGAGATGCGTATTGAAACCGGTCTCGCTGGCCATAAAAGGCTAGTTACTCTTGAGCTAATGTTATTCTAATAGTGAGCAGCAGACCGCCAACTGAGATCCATTCTAAACTGTTTACACTAAAACAGCGAGTAATGCCCATTCAAACGCTATAGAGGCCAAATTTAGCCGTTGTGTTCTGTGTGACATACACAATCAAAACTTCCTTTAAACAACTGACATAATACAAAAAAAAAGTTTGCAAAAAGAAAAATTTAAAATTGAAATCAGCAAGTTATCCGTCTCCCATTCACCTGAGAAGTCCATTTGTTAAAGTGTGCTGGATTCACAGTCAGTCCAGCCTGTAGAGTCTCAGTAGTGGAGCTCACTCGCAGGAGTTACACTGCAAATAAAACACTAACCGCAAACACTCCGCTGTCCCTCTCTCCAGCCCCCTCCCTCTGAGAGATCACGCTGAACACACTCGCTCTGTCGGGCGGCTGGTGGTCCAAAAGACCTCAAGTGCCCAAAAACCCCCAAAACAGCTGAGCATACAGTATACTAATGCTGCACATTACAAATGAGATCTAGGAGAAGAGATATATCAAACTATAAATTCCCTCCCTGAGTGCCGAATGTTTCTCATAGATAAATTAAGTGTTGTTTATTCAGATATATCACACTGAAATTGTATGGCACTTAAGTTTAGATTGACTAAAAGCTCAAATGTTTCTTTATTTTTCAGGTTCAGCATTTGTTGTTGTTTTATTTGCATATTTTATTCAGTGATCTGACATGGGGGGAAAACACTGTTCCCATCTCATTCAGTCTAGCATTTAATGAGCGGCAAAGAAACAAAGCGGCAATTAGGAAGTGATTAAGGTCCAATTAGCCATGCAAGCCAGAGAGAAGTGGGTCAGACCACTAATGACTTCCAATAGGTAGAGAGAGGAAAGAGAGGGGCCGAGAGGGGGATAGGTCGGGAGAGACCTGGCTTAGATATAGAGATTAAAGTTGAGAGGGAGAAAATTATGTAAAAGTTGAGCACAAAACTAATTATACAACAATGAACAACAAAACTATCCATCAGTTGCACACCGAAAAGGCAGAAATAATCTATCTGTCACCTCCATATCTTCAGGAATCTCGAGAGCAACTTTGTGCCCTCAGGGGTTTGTGGCCCCTCTCAGTTCCTCTCAAAGGCCATATTTAAGTGATTATTTCTCCGCGGCAGAATAACAGCTATCATTAGACTCAGATGACCACCCCACGAGGACTGACCAACCCTCTCAGAAAATAATATGTACACTTTAGGTACTAATGTTTAAGGTGCTGCTCTCTTTAGGGGTAAAAAATAGTACTTTTTTGAAAGGGTCTTGCCCCAGTGACAGCTTTTGTACCTTTTTTCTGAAAGTAAATGAACAGTTCATGCCTGTTTCATATTGCAGCTTGTCAGTGTTTTTTCCTCTTTTGAATACAGTCATCATGTTTACATGTACAAGAAAACTTCAATTAACCCTCTGGGGTCTGAGGTGTTTTCTGGGCCCTGGAGGTGTTCTGACATGCCCTGACATTTGTGCTTATTTCTGTTACTTGTGACATTTTCATGGCAATAGTATACATGAATACTGCAATTGCTGTAAATAAAGACTCAACCAGAATATGGACATTAATGGGGAAATTAGCCCTTTAAACACTTTTACACTGGATAATAAATAATAACAAAAATATGCTGCTTTAAAAACAAAGTACATTTAAAGTAACACCAGGGAACTTTTGCTCTCGGGGTGGGGTCCCCCTAGAGTTGGGAAACAGTATTGTCCTCTAGAACTCTACTACTGTCGTAAACTCTGTCATCCTACATGCACGTGCAATTGTTGACAACCATGATAGCCCTGAACACTGTAGGAGGAGGTCACATGCAGGTGTTCTGCTTGCGTCGCGTGTGAAATGTCTTCATCCCAGGTACAGTGGTATATATTTCAGCATGTCATATGAATATAATTTCATGGGTTTTATTTTTTTTCTAACGACAAATGATCGCGATGATCACGTTTAAAAGCCAGCGTCATTATAGTAGCCTAGTCTATTGGTTACCGTTTTAATGAATCTATATGATACTTCAATGCAATGTTTGAGTGGTTGATAATAACCATATATCGTCAATATTATAATATCAAGCAACCATAAATAAATCAGCAAATTTTACAAATCGATTTGCATTATAGCTTGAGGCAAGACAAATAAACAAATATCACAGACATGTTAGGTATCCTAAAATATGATTTTGTACATCTTATATATTTACTTGCAAGAATGTAGCCCCTACCAAACTTGTGAACGCCGTTTAGACATAGGCTTTGATTTGATTTTTTTTTTTTTGCCAAGTCCGCATCGGTCGGGCACCCCTCCTCCTCCTTCAGCTCACGCCAGCGAGAAAATGCTGGCCCAATGTTAAGCCTCGTTCTGCCTTTAACGCGATCATTTCCTCTTTTTCTCTTTTTGCTTTGCTGCGATAAAACCTTTGCTTTCTTGTTTTTCTGTGCTGCTTCGGCCATGACTATAACATTTGGCTCGCAAGTCCGATTTTAAGGAAGTGGGGGTGGTGGTGGAAGTGACGTATATGCCGTAAAGCAGTCGAATTTTGTAGTTCTCTTTGTTCGCCGGTTACTACCCGAAACCCGAAGTTTAAAAGTACGATTAAAAACGCTACAGACCCCGTCAGGCTATGGCAGACGTGTCATTCAACCTATTGTAAGTCGATGTACCATCACAAGAGACTTGGAAATATATTATGAAGGTTGAAAAGTAACCTAGTGCTGCTTTAAAGTGGATAAAATTACAACTCTACGAATTGTTTAGTAATCATTTACTCATCCTTAAGTTGTTCCAAACCTGTATGAGTTTCTTTCTTCTGTTCAACACAAAAGAAGATATTTTGAAGAATGTCGGTAATCAAACGGTTGATGGTGGCCATTGACTTCCATAGTATGAAAAAAAAAAAAAATACAATGGAATAACGTTCCACTGTCTGTTTACCAACAATTATAAAAAAAAAAAAATCTTCTTTTGTGTTAAACAGAAGAAAGAAGCTCAGACAGGTTTGAAACAACTTGAGGGAGAGTAAATGATGACAAACTATTCTTTTTTGGGTGAACTATCCCTTTAATTATTTCAAACTCTGAAAACACATAAAATGCTGAATTGCTTTCTAGCCAGCTTTAAAATTTTGAAACTGTAAATCTCTGAGACAGTCGGCTGACAAATTTACTAACTTTCAGTGTCACAAGACCAACACATTTGAACTCTTCAACTGCACACAAGCCAGATATTACAGTCAGGAGATTCACCAAAATACTGTTAAAACGAGAGTCCTTGTAAACATGGGTATAGAATACATTAAGCAAACTGTCAAAGTCTGCCTTCAGAAGAATCCGCTTACCTAGGAATTTCAATACCTAGCAATATGTAAACAAACATACAATAGAAAAACAGGATAGTGCCTAAAACATGAAACCTCCTTCTCTCTCTGTCTCTCTTTCACTGTCCCACATTCTCATGCCAAAAACACTAATTGGAGCTCAATTAATGCAGAAAAGCTCCATTCACTCAGCTTTCAAAGCCGGAGAGAGAGAGAGAGAGAGAGAGAGAGAGAGAGAGAGAGAGAGAGAGAGAGAGAGAGAGAGAGAGAGAGAGAGAGAGAGAGAGAGAGAGAGAGAGAGAGAGACACACACACACACACACACACACACACACGGCACATCTTTCAAACATCTCAGCTAGGGTTTCCCTCAAGGTCATTATAAGCAGTTATTTCCAGCACTGACTGCTACATTAACTGCTGCAAACACATCACACTCCGTCAGCGAACACAGAAAAGTGGTTGGCCCATTTTAACACAGTGACCGCTTAAAGTCAACATGAACTCTAAATCGACCCGGTTTATATAATTGTGCATAAATCATCAGCGCACGTTATTCCAGAAAATGTTTAAAAGTTTTCTGCTGACTTTACGAGGCCACGTATACCTACTGGATAATACGGAGCCCCTAAAGGGACCCTTGCAAAAATAAAACATATACAGACTTTCACGTGCTTGCGAGAAACTTTCGCGCGCTCACGAGAAACGTATTAGTCGTGTTAGTTTTCTAGTGCGCACGAGATACGTTTCACATGATCCTTCAGAAATCATTCTAATACGCTGATTTGCTGCTCAAGACACATTTCTTATTCTTATTTCCATCTTTTTTTTTTCATGATTCCTTAATGAATAAAAAAAAAAAGAAAAAAAAAGAAAAAAGTTTACAATTAAAATAAAAAATACAATACTTGCTGGATACAAAAAAAATATTTCTATAAAGTAATTCTATAAATTGCATGTAGACTGCAAACAGCCTACAGAGTAAATATAGATTAGCCCCATAACTTTAAATACTTCATTAGTCTTTAAGATACAAATAACAGAAGATATACAATTTTTGGAGAAAAAAACAAACCATAAACAAACCTCATGCGCGGCACGAATTTTGCCCTACATAGCTAAAACATGAGAATTTTTCTATATTCAATTCGTGAAAAAACATGTTGCCAGGGGGTGTAGCTAGTCAGCATTATTTAAATAAATAAATAAATAAAATACAGACAATTGACTCATTTTGCCAAGGCATGATCAAACACAGCTCAAATAAACTGGAAGGACCCTGTAGAGGGCACAAAAAGCCTTTTTAATGAAATATGGCCCCGCTTTTATCTGCTATGACGTAATGTTCAGGTTCAGAAGTCCCAGTGAAGTAGTGTTTACCTTTGGCCTGAGCTGCTGCAGGTTTGGCTTTATCGCTGAACACCTGACTGCGGCGATTCCCTGCTGAACTGATGGACCCTCGAGGAGAACTCTCACTGCCCGCAGTGGACATCCTCGAGGTGGGCCCAGGTAATCTGTGACAGCGAGAGAACCAGGACATTCACAACAAGATTTATACAATTTATGAACAAAATGGACAAAGAACTCATTGTCACAATACTCAGGTGTTCCTGGTGCTTGCCAGGAGAGTTCTGAGGTGTTTTTAGGCTGATGCTAGGATGTTTTATAAAGTATTGTGAGCGGTTGCTTAATGCCTAAAGAGTTTTTATTTTTTAGAAACAGTCTTCTGAATATTTGTACCTTTATGTGGGTCTCTTGCCCCAGATTCAGTCTTATTCAATTCATTGCCATTGAAATAAGCTGACAATAAAAACTACTCTCTCAAACAGCAAAAAACTATGGAAGCTTGTTTCCGCCACATAAAAAAATAAAGAAAGATAATTGCGACTTTTTATCTAAAAATTGCAAGATATAAACTCGCAATTGCGAGAAAAAAGTCAGATTGTGACTTTTAATCTCACAATTTTGACTGTTTTTCTTGCAATTGCGAGTTTACATCTCGCAATTCTGACTTTTTTTCAGAATTGTGTGATATAAACTCACAATTGCGAGAAAAAAGTAAGATTGTGATGTAAACGCAATTCTGAGAAAAAAAAGGCAGAATTTTTTTTACTTTATATCTCGCAATTCTGATATTATAACTCACAATTGCGACTTTATATCACACAATTCTGAAGAAAAGTCAGAATTGCGAGATGTAATCTTGCAATTGCAAGAAAAAAAGTCAGAATTGTGAGATTAAAAGTAGTTAGCAAATAGATTATCGTGCTTCTGAATAATTCAACAATTTACAATTCTTAATCAACCATGCATTTATTGCCCCAAAATTATGCATATATATATATATATATATGTATATATGCATAACGAGGCTTGATGCATAACAATCATATAAGGCAAACAATGCTTGAAAAACATTTATATATAGTATATACACATCTTTTTCAATCATTATTTGCCTGTGGTTGAGGGTTTAGTGAATTAGTTCAACTCCACAGCTTTGTAATGATGCTCCTTAGAGTAGAATAGAAGCTAAATATTTAGCTTTAACATTAAAAAAACCTGAAATGTACAGGGATCTAAACAAATCCTAAACTACAGTACATTAAAAAAGAAATGCCATATGTCATATACTGACATATAAGAAACATAGCAGTAAATACCCACCTCTATGAAGGAGATTTGTAATTATAATGTGGCATTTCTCTATCAGTCCTAGCCTCAAAGATGATTGACAGACAAATAGACTAATCTCACCTAACAATCAGGTCTAGGTAAATGTCATGTCAATGTCATGTAAAATACAGGAACATGTAGTGACCTATGCTAATCACATTGCTGTCAATTGTGTGGCCTTGACATTTTCTCATAAGAATGTAAAATAGCAATGCTTTAGGGAGCATTTTCCCTCTCTATTTATTTTCCCGTTCACCTAAAAGGCTTAACTGCAATTACAACTATCCACCATTAGATGACAACATTGTGTCACGTGTTGCCAAAAAAACAAATGGTGGTATACTAAATCCTGGGCCAATATTCAAACTGGGGAGTGTATTTTTCAAATGCATTACACATGTGAGTGAAATGCATTTACATCACTTGGTGACTGAGTGTATGAACACATTCATTCAAAGCAAAATTACAACCTCAACCTTTCTGTCACACACCACAAACCACTATTAATAATTAATCTCATACTCAAGCAGGGCATCACACAGAGAGGTTATTTTAAAGTTATCACGGCTAACTGAGCAGACATTTCCACAGGGACATGTTTTTGGGTAACATCCCCTGACAGAACACATATTCTGTCTGGCCGAATTTATTCAAGGTAATCTTCACCAGAATTGGACATTATTTCTTTCTTTCTTGCGCCATTGCTTTGGCAAAGTATCTGTGAAATGAACTAAACTCGAAAGGGCAATATGGCTTTGTGCCCTAATTAAATGGCAAAAGACTGTGATTTAATCAAATATGTATATAGTATTATACGTGTTTTCCGCCTCTCAGAACGGCTCAGTTCACGGTGAATGAATGCAGTGAACTCCATCTCTGCATGTGCTGTGAGTTTAGCATGCATTTGGGAACGTAGCAGGGACCAGTTATGCATTATTTTCACATTAGCATTATTTCCAGCATTTTTGTGGAAAGATGATTACGGCATTTCACTAGATTTGTAATGAGATGCGTTTGTAAACCGGTTTTCAAAAAAACAAAAACAAAAAACTCAATTGCAGTTTCCATCAAAATAAAAGCTCAAGGGTTTATCTCTTGAAAGTGAAGAAATTAGGAGAAAAAGTTTTGTAATTTCCCTATTGTACCATAAAGTAAAATAATATACATACAAAATTTCATTTTACAGTGCATTTGTTTTACTATATATGCTATAATAGGAATAATAATATAAAATCATTATTATTAGTATTATATTTTAATTGTTTGGCTTCCTAAAACAGCAGTGTGAATGTAATGTAGATTGAGACACTATATCAAAACTAAAAATGAAGGTTGAGTCCCCTTTAAATAATTGAGCTTTTCTTGGAGCTCTTAATTTTGGGATGCCCCCGAACCCCCCTTGAGGATTTGCCTCACAAAATCCTGTGAGAAACACTGCAGTGTTACATATTTTCTTAAATAACTCTAATCACAGATAAAATACTTTATAAAACTTTGCTTTATAATACCCATAACAACTTTACAAAACAATTGACCTACACATGCTTTAAATAGTGTAATTAACTA